GATTATTTTAAGTCTTTAAAGATTATTTAATGTACAAAGAAAATGTATTTTTTGCTCTATTTTCATTTATTTATTCCTAAAAAGACTACCTGACCATTAAAAACTATGAAAGTACTTTTGTTTTAAATATTGTAAAATTTTTTGTATAATTCTGTTATTCAATTGACCTTTTTAAGTTACATTATTTACAGTGATTAACTATCATAGAACGGGTAATAGCAATGTTTGAATTTCCTTCCGCTTCATTGATTTTTGACCGTCACGGTAGCTCAAACGGTAGAGCGCTCACTACTATCGGAAGCTCGTGTGATCGGATCACGGCCGCGACTGACCTACGTCGATAAAAAACAGGTAGCAACTGTTCCTTCGCCAAGCGCTCGGCACTTTGAAATGGAAAGTTGCGGGTCTTTCAAATGAGACCTTAAAAACCAAAGGCCCAAGTCACGGTACGCCTTGGCACGATAAAGAATCCTCACTGCTCAATGGCCCTCAGTGCAGAGTAAAGGTCTAAATTTGAAGTCCTTCACCGGTATATAGTGACGTCTCTATATGAGTGAATAATTCTCGAATGGGACGTAAAACAACATTCAATCAATCATTGATTTTTGACAAAATTATAGGCATTTTTAATTTTTAAGGGGGGTTTTCCACATTTTTTCTAAAAGCTTGAAGATATTGAGCTGATTTTTGATACGTGAGTTTACATTGATGAGTTATAGATGAAGTTTGCATTTTCTTCCGCTTCAATGATTTTTTGACGGAACTGTGGCATTTTCAATTTTTAATGGGAACCAGATTACAGTTGTCGGTAGGGGACTAGTATTGCTAATGCAATACTACTCACAGAATCTTTGTTTTTGTTAAAAGTGACATATAGGTCGAGGGCCGAGTGTCTGAATATTTGATTAACATAATGATTTTCATTGTATTGTATAACATATATGTCACTATAATAAATCATTTACTTACTTACTTATATATACTAAATTACTTACTCTTTTTGTCATTTACTTGGTGATTTTGGAATGCTCTAACCGGTTTCCATTAAAATAAAATTGGTCAATATTAATTTTCTATCAATGAAAAATAATTTCACCGTGTTATTTGAGTGCGAATTAATTGTATTACTTGCAAAGAGATTATAGTCCTAAAATTATCAATATTTTATAATCGGAAAATTAGTTCAAGTTATTGTTAGATTTTAAAACCATATGGTTAGAAAATGATTAACAAAAAAGGCTAATTTATATTACAAATAAAGTGTAGAAAAAGTGTGGCTATTAAATTTCCATGAGTAGAGAAATGGAAGATCTTTAAACATGCAATTTATTATTTATTCGGATGGCAATCAAATACTGAAGTGCTAATCGGTTAACAGCAAGACTTTCCGACCGATTATCCAACATATCGTATCAAAATACATGTTTTCTTGACATTTTCTTTTATGAAGCTCTATTCATATACACGAGAAGACTTAATAAGAAGTTATATGAGTTAGAAATATTTTGTATATCTTGATCAGAAAACAATACATGTATACATATTTTATTTCAATTTAAATACTCAACAATAATTGAGAACACAATAAAACATGCCTGCTAAATCAAATAGAGATACTTTTCCAGAGCAGATGTCACACAAGTTCATACTGCATAATGTCACTATAATCAAAACTATGTCCGAACCATTCCTTTATTTACAAATTTTGTTTAAAAAAAAAAGATCTGGTAGATAGCTTCAAAGATAGACATACCAATTAGGGAGTTCAAAATTACCGCTACATAGCAAGAAATTCCAACTCATTAACGCTACTTTTCATTTAAATTTCGGGTGCTTATTACCGCCAATTCTTATCAAAAGGGCGATTACAACTCATTACCGCTGCATACACAAATCTGCCTGCGATGGCACAGAATACAATGTATGAATTCTTTCCAATATAATTCACTCACAATATAATGCAGTCGAAGTCAAATTACAATTATTATTAGTATGAGTTCTAGCCTGTATTGGAAATATAATTTTATGGAGTCAGTTGAATGTCGTCACTATTTTGATTGATTGATTGTATGTTGTTTTACGTCCCTTTCGAAAATTTTTTCACTTATGTAGAGACGTCATCATATACCGGTGAATGGCTTCAAATTTAGACCTTTATCGGCACTCAGGGCCATTGAGCAGTGAGGGTTCTTTTTCGTGTCAGCGCCTACCATGACACTGGGCCTCGGTTTTTAAGGTCTCTTCCGAAGGACCCGCAACTTTCACTTCAAAGTGCCGAACGCTTGACGAAGGAACAGTTGCTACCTATTTTTTATCGACCTAGGTCAGTCGCGGCCGTGATTCGAACACACGACCTTCCAAAAACGGAGCGAGCGCTCTACCTACTGAGCTACGTGACGCCATGACTTCTTTAAGACTTCGAAGTTAGTAAGAATTTGCGGCAATGTACGATTAGTCATTGATGGATATTAGCAAATTTCAAGAAAATGTGTCTTTTAGAATTAAAATGACTAAGGATTTTAAAAGACAAATGAAAATAAAGACTACTAGCCTAAGGTCTGATGCATGCACATGCTGTTCGTTATATCTGTACAGGCATATGGCTCTGTCTAACTGAAAAGGCATTGTAGCGGTAATGTATACTATTTTGTGAGGGTAGTGAGTATGTAGCGGTAATAACTATCTTGACAATGTAGCGGTAATGTAATGCAACCACCAATTTACATATATACATGATATATACATATATTTTATACCGATTACAGATTTCTAACCAACCACCGACGTTCCGACCGAGTAATCGGTTAACTGTTAACAATATGACTTACCTAGCTCCAACCTTTGATGGTTTGAACCTAGAACCGGGGGGGGGGGGGGGCATAAAATTACACAATTTTGATAAAAGGTTTAGTACTCATTGCAATCATACAAACAGATTGTCTGCTAAATATAGTTAAGAAAATAATATTTTCAAATTCATACTCGTTTTCAGTAAAAGACCATCTTAAAATGACTATCATCCGGGGCCAGAACACCGGATTATGGAGATGTTAATTAGATTAATTAAAAACAATTCTTCAAAGCTGCATTGTATAAGTTGTTAAAAAAGGTGATATTTTAAAAATTTCTTTCAGCGGTAAAAAGTTTCAAAGGTTGTGACCTCATAGTTGAGATGGATTTCAACAGCAATTTGGAAAAACTTTGGCTGTTTTAATTTCTGTCAAGATGGTTTAATTACATGTATTCTTACTATTTTATAACTGGCTATTGAGTATTTTATTTAGCATTCTTTGTGAAGGCAAGGAAAATCGAGTTTTGTTGCACTTTTGATATTTTTCACAGTAAAAATAAATACGACTTTGATATTTTTCAAAGTAAAAAATAACTTTCAAAATTCTCACTTTTATTTAATAAAAATTACAGTATTTCGTGATGAAAATGTAATAAGTATAGGATTTCCCATAATTTTTGGTTTGATATGATTTTTATCCAACGAGTTGTGTCTTTTTTTAATCCCCGAGCCTCGGCGAGGGGATAAAAAACATACGAGCTGGATAAAAATCACACATCAACACAAATCACGGGAGATTCTTTTCATCACAAGTTTTATATATCACTCTCAATGTTTTTACACTTTTTAAACATATGAATCTACATCATTATACTACATCACTTTCACGCAAAACCCATTGTGACGTCACAGCAATGGAATATGAAAAAATATCCAATGAGTGATATCCATGGGATAAAGGGGTAAACATGTGATAAAAACTTTTAGTATTATTGCAAAAACGCATATCTATCACGAGATTTTCCCATCAAACAAGCTTTTTTATAATCTTTAAATCTATAGTATAGAAAATTCTATGTTAAAAAAACCCCACCCAAATAAATGTTATTCTTCTTTAACATTACCATAAACAAATTAATTTTATACAAAAACAATAAAATACAATCAGCTATGATTAAATCCCCAGATCCTTTTCCCCAGATTTAGGGTATCCTATAAGAAAAGAATTCAAAGTGCATCGCCACGGCACATAATACGCCCGTCAAATATTGTTCAATTATCAGATAAGCAGATAAGATGTATTTTGGGTTCCTTACAATTTATAATTAACATTCATATTGAAATGTGGAAATCAGACAATAGATTGCTTAATATACTAGTATATGGGATTTTTTGGTATGTCACTGTCTACTAATGACTTACAGGACAATTTTCAGTTGTATTCAGCCCCTTCACGGTAACTGCGGTACTACTCTTTTGCAGGGCAAAATAATAACGTTTGGCGAAGTATTTGTTGACAGATAATCAAATGACGTATATTTAACAATTACTTTTACGTCATATTCATTTTGCCCTGCAAAAGAGCAGTGCCACAGTAACAGTGAAAGTCTATAAACGTTGAACGCCTTGCAAATGCAACATCACAAGCGAAGATTAAAAATCACGCTAATATTGAACAATAATTTCTCCTTCAATTTAGCTGTACAAGTGAATGTGGAGTGTATCATTTAAACAGACATAATAAACTAGAATTCGAAGAAACCATATTTTATCAATCTACATGTACCATGAAATTTAAAAATGTAAATACCGGTAGACAAATTTTCATACATGTACATTTACACGTGTTTCTCTTTTCATTTAAGGATACATAAAATTAGGAGGAAAAGGGTTTTACCGTATCTTGTTGTATTTATACATGTATGAAGTTCTTTTTTAGATTCAAATTATGCTTAGTTTGTTACATATTAGATTTAGAGAAAATTTATTTTTATTTCAGGAAGATTTCAAATTTTTCATGTTTTTGAAAAAAAAAAAAAAATCTTTAAAAAAGAGGAGAATGCAAAAACTGGTTGATTTGGTGGGAAAACTTCGAAATAAATATGTGTTTTAACAACTATAAATTCTGTACAAATCGTTTACAAATTTCTATACTATAATATTTTGACATTCTACATCCTTAAAAGCTGAAAATATGAAAAACTGAAAAGGAACTCTGATATTTTATTTTCATGTTATATAATGTACAATTACCAATTAAAACCTGTCCAAGAGATAATTGATAATAATAAATAATTGATAAAAATTACAAGCAGAACAGCCCAATCTTTATATATGATATATAGATATATAGCAAAAGATAATGTATAATTACAAAGAAAAAGGCACATAATATGTGATATGTGATATCAATATAATTATTCTTCGAAATATAATCAAATACTTCTAATATGCAAGTACATTTTTTGAACCAGTTAAACCATTTACAAAACAGAATATTTTCCATCCAAGAATACTGAAAACATAATGTTTTTTTTTTTAAATATAATTTGCTATTTCAAGGGACCTTGATTGAAAAAAGTTAGGTACAAATGTGTATTATTCAAATAATTTCTTTTCAGTAAGTATTTATCTATGAATGACATGTTCTGCAAGGAAAAAAAACATTAACATTTCTTGTCCATTAACATAATTATAGGGGAAAAAAATAAAAATTCCTGGAGACTTTTCTACTCTTTACTCATTCTAGTTTACTGCTTTCTAATTACTGTTCATAAATAGCTCTATTGGAGCACAATGAAATTTTGCTTTGTATATTCTTTCCTTTTCCATTCCTTATTCAGTCAAACATCGTTATCTACAAACTCGAGGATATACATGTAGAGTAAAGAACTTTAAGATTTCCAAGGAATCAAGATATCCAGGTTAAAATACATTAAGAAAAAGTGGCTGGGACCTCCAAATCACTTTGTCATATCCATGGTATTCGAGATATCTTGTGTTCAAGATACCAAAGTCCAACTGTGTTATTTTAAATAAATAAAACATCATGGTTGAAAATTAACAATACAATACTCTACATTTACAAATATCTATATCTAGCACTACTGTAACAATATTAAAACTGTCCAAAGCTCAAAACACGTACGACACCATACTTACACATACAGCAATGGTTACAAAAAAAAAAAAAAATGAATTCTTTGCAGTGTCCTTTAAATAATTTTCTTGAAACAGACAAAAACAGGAAACAACACAGTGGATTAATCTTGAAAGCAGAATTATAATCTTCAGCATTTCTTTTAACTGATTCCTTCTCTTTAAGAAACAAATTCTCTGCTTCTCTTTTGATTTATACAAATCAACTAAATCTCTGTACAATTATTTTGGGAAAAAAATAAAAAATTCTCAAAACTTAAGGCAGACAGGGATATTTCTTAAAATATGTTGTTGAAGCAAACAGTATTTTCCAGAAATAATGATCTGAATTCCTACCAATAAGATCTCTTATATTTAACAGTGGTCTATTCCCAGTTTTTGGTAATATTATTTTTAGCAATGCTACTGCTTCAAAGGCATATCAATATACTGTGGAATGTGCAACACAAGTGGATGCATAATTCTTAGACAATCTCCATTCACTCTGCTGGCATTTTAGTAAGGATAGTAGGATTGAAAAGAATTTCCAAATACAATGAATACATAACTACCTTTTTTTGCTCATAAAATCTAACTTATTACAGAATGTTATCTAAGAGAAAAAAAATGTATCTAAAAATGTTATTCAGCCTATATTACAAATGTGATGTAGCCTAATCTTCTCTAAATGTGAACTAAAAATGAAAAAATGTTTTTCAAACTCAAATGAACTGCATGTACTAAGGGTTTTGCTTCTGCGGAAAAAAAAGAAAGACTTATAGCAGATCTTTCTAATATGGCATATAATCACAGAAGATGATGGAAATGCAAAGCATATAATTAATATTCTCTCCCAAAAAGATAGCTTGTTCAACGAGACAACAAAGTAACAAAACAAATGCATCAAAATATTCCGCATCAGCTGATCAAGGAGTGTAAATATATATATATATATAGACATATAATTGTATAATAGAATATATAAATCTTAATATACATCAACAAGCAATAACAAATGTAAAGCCACAAATCAGAGCAGCTGTACAATACATGTATACAATGTATGAGGAATTTATATGGGGCTCATCATAGCCTCCATCTAGTAAGCATGATACATAAAATATACATAATTATACAATATTTATGGAATAAATGGTATGCTTACTGTGATGTTTAGCACCAGCTTTTAAACCCAGTGCAATTAAAATTTATAAGGTGCTTATTAATATATGAAACCTAATTAAGGACTATATGAAGACTCAACCCACAAAGATAATAAGGTGTATCTACAGACTTTTAAAATAATACAAATATTATGAAAATCGGGGGTTTAAAATGAGTAAATTAATGATTATTATCCAAATATGTGTTACATATTACATAATTTATGGATTTCTGTTACCTGATTTAAAACTTAAAGTAAAATTACAAACATACATGAATGAAAGTAAATCAGCACATACATAGGTACCAATTTTTAGTCACATACACCATTGAAAAAATTATATTATATTAATTTTGTTCAAAATAAAACAAAAGCCCATACTCTTAATGCACTTGAAACACAAGTTCTGATACTGAAATACTGGCATGCGAGTGCAGGATAATTCAGATTTTCAAAATGACAAAGCCATGCATGAATGCGAGACATTTAAATGGTAGCCTCCATCTTGTATACAGCATGTACTTGTTAATATGCATTTTTTTTTTCAATTTTCAATCTGATTGAGTGTAATTGTTCAGTGTGTTAATCGATAATTAAATGGTGGAAAATCTGATCTGTCACTTAGAAACGCATGAATAACCATACAGCTAATGAAGTATACATGTACAAACTACAAAAACACATTGCACAATAAATTTCATTATCAGCATTACATCTAACATGGAATTATGGTTAATATTTCTGGAATACAAAAAAAATCCATTTTTCTAAAACATCTATAATTATAATCCAGTTTCTAGGATTACATAATTATTTTAGCTCTGAGATCATTAAGCTACCGATACATATATTCTCAGCACCTAAATGGTATATTCTAAACTAAATACCAGATATAAAGCAGTTCTTAATAAATTCAGACATTAAATGTTTGCACAACAAAGGTATATGTATGTATTAGCTTGTGTTTCTTGTATTAAAAACTATTAAAAAAAAACTTTTTTCTTTTAACAAATCAATTCCTTAAAATTATTTTTTTCAATAATCTACATTTTGACCTTGACATAAACTCATTTTTTTCCACTTGTTCAAAACAGGTTTTCTTTTAAATTTAGTAAATGCTGATTGTCTTCCTATGATTCTGGCCACATTAGTGCAATGTCTGCCCCCTCTTTCTTGAATGTGGCGCCACCGTTCACGGCAGTGGGCCGCACCATGACTGTCCGTCGCTTACTTCCCAGCATGCAGTGCACCGGTTTACTGACTGTCACTTTTAATTCCTTACCAACCCTACACAAAGAAACAAAAGTGAATATAAAATACAGGCAAGTAGAACAGAATATAGAGATTCAGGATTATTATTTGGTTGTAGTATCATAATCTAGTTCCTTGAACTTTTGGTTTAACTATTTTGAAATTGTGCAATACATGTCTATAGTTTCTCCAATATCAATCAAGTTTTGTCAGAGTTGACTTTGGGATTTTTTTTTTAAATGAATCTTTATGGCTTTTTCTCAATATATTAACAATAAACCATACCTTTTTACTAGATATATGTAGAAACAAAGTGTACAATATATGACAATATATAAAGTGTACACATTTTTAAATACTAGCTACCTTTTGCCAGTGACTAAACGGTGTGTACATTTTCTCAATCTGTTAACAGTGTAGCATAATAGTATACATATGTGAAAGACTAAACTATGTTCCAAATCTGTCATTAACATACCGTATGCCCATTATTTAAATCTACAGACAATGTAATAACACACCTTTGCCATTAACTAACAGTGTGCCCATTATTTCATGCTGCTGACAATGTAATAAAACACCTTTGCCATTAACTAACAGTGTGCCCATTATTTCATGCTGTAGACAATGTAATGATATACCTTTGCCATTAATTAACAGTGTGCCCATTATTTCATGCTGCAGACAATGTAATAATATACCTTTGCCATTAATTAACAGTGTGGCCAGTATTTCAAGCTGCTGACAATGTAATAATATACCCTTGCCATTAATTAACAGTGTGCCCATTATTTCAAACTGCTGTCTATGAAATAGCATCCATTTGGTAATGGCTACATGATGTGCCCACTATTTAAGCTTTAAGCTGCTGAAAATATAATAACATACCTTTGCAGCTGACTACACATTATGCCCACAATTTCCCCCACCCTCTCCTCCTTGGTTAGGTTCAGAAGACAGAGGACAAGGTCATTTTCATCAGGGAGATGAATGATGACCAGCTGGTCAGATCCAGGGGTCACTGACAGACCGGTTACCTGTGAATATGTACAACACTATTATTGTGGAATCTGTACTATGAACTCTTGTCTGGTAGAGTTACTAATGTTTTGATATACTGAAACTATACATTGAATGAGATTGGTTTTGTCAAAGAAAAAAAAATGATGATCATATTAGTAGAATAAATTTCCATATGATATAGATATTACAGATCAGCCATTTTACATTTAAATTGAATTCTTGAAAATTATGAAAGGCCTGTAAGTTCTAACACATATCCCTTTTTTGAGTGCTCCTCCTTATTAACCAATCAAAAGTAATTTAGCAATTTGCTGCTGAACCAGTCCTTTAATAATTAACACTACCTAAATTATCTTTAATGTAAAACAACATTATTACCGTATTAATATTGATTCCTTTCTTTAGTGGTTTATATTTCTTCTTAGGATCCAACTTGTAGATGAATTTATCTGTGATGACAATCGCTCGGTCAGCAGGCTTGTTGTTTTTGTTAAACTTAAAAAAAAAAAAAGAAGTCCAAATCAATTCTAAGAAAAAAAAACTTTTCCTGGAGGCAATAAATACCTCTTCAAAAGCTCATATATGCATCCAAATAAGTGCCCTGGGACATTAAGAAAACTGAGAGGAAGTTTATGTTTATAAAGTCTTACAATTTTCAACATATTTATAAATATTTACATTTTAATTAACACATCAAAATACATGCATTGTTCAGAAAGCAAATTTTTTCCTTTTAAATCAGTTATCAACAATTCTCAGCTTTTTGTAAGCTGGTTGGAAGAATTATTTTAAGTAATCACTTTAATTTATGAATATCTAATAGGGGCAAGCACTTTTTTCTTTAATTATGAAACATCACTGACAACGGTGTTTACTTAAGCAAGGACAAATATGGAATATGACTTAAGTAAACTCAAAGCAATTACATCACAGAAAAGTCACTGAATTGTTTCTATATTTTGAAATGATTAGAAGCGCTCATGAAATATAAATGTATATTAAAGCATAACAAACTGTAGATCACAAAATTTTCATGACACCTTATTTTGGCCAAATAGTGATTTCTTATTCATAAGTGAGACAAAATTTTCACGACTTTGGCTACTGTTTTATATAATCTTTTATAAGAATAATATACGCAAGAATTAAATTTTCACGAGCAGATCGACAGACTCGCATAATTACACAAGAATTAAGTTCTTGTAAATAAAAAGTGATATTTAAAGTATTATCAACTATTGCAATACTTATGTCTTATCACTACACATCCCCTAAAAGAATAGCAAGGTAAAAAACACAAGTTCATAATTACGTACCTTTTTAACATGACAGGAAAACAAGATCTTGGAGAAATTGTCATGAGACTTCAAATGGTTCATCTTGGTGACAAAGTCCGCTGTGTTACTATTGTCTTTTGACTGAAAATCAGAGAAATAATTGTGTGTTGATTTAATGTTACAAAGATTTCATGTTACAATGTACCTGCATGTATATCTGATTATTCAATGCTTTATAAATTAAGATCTACAAAAATGAAGAAGCAGTAAGCAGAATTTGCTTTAATCTGTTAATTGCAATTATCACAAAGATAACGATTTCCAGATTTACAATTTTTTTTCTCACATATCCATCAAAATCAAACATGAATGCCTCATCATACGGTGACCTCCTCACGTAATTGTACATGAAGTCTGGGATTTTCATTTTCGAGAAATTAATTAATGATTCACAAGTCTTTTCAAATGTCACACATTTAAATGTTTTCAAGAAATAGTCACTCCTAAAAGAACTTAAGAAAATTTATTGAAGCTAGGCTAAATAAAAATCATTTTAAAACTCATGATAACACCCCCTCCAAATGTATGTGTGTTGCTGGAGGGGAGGGGGGTGCATCTCATATAAGTATACAACCCTATATGAATTAACAAAAAAAAATTAAAAGATATATAATATTTCAGATAAATAATATCAACATGTTTTCCAAATGCATACTTTATTACTTTAAAACCACTTTTGAAACTGAGAAACAAATAATAAACAATATATCATTAGAGATGTTTATTTTTGCAGGGGAGTGAGAGGTAAATTGTAGGAGAGAGGTGGACTCAGAGGAAATGCAGAGAAAATAAAATTCTGTATGACCAAAAAAAAAACCCCTTGTCATATAATATTGTAGACATGTTTTTTTTTTTTGTTTTAAATCATTTTCTATTAGATATATGTCTTCAGAATCTTCAATATATAAGAATGCAAATTAACATTTAATTACTGCTTTAAAATATACTAAGAGTATTTCTAATTTACAGACTTGATATTGTTAAGAACCTGAAAAATAAAAGTTTCTTTGAATGATGTTAATTAATGTGCAAGTCAGCATCAATGTGAATCATGTTCTAAAGAGAATATCACCTAGCACTAATTATTTCACATACCTTGAAACATACATGTATTACAACTTGGAAGAAAAAAAAAAAACTGTGATCAATAATTTTTTTTTACTCATGAATCTTTAAACAAGAAGAATAATACAGTATGAAATAACAGAAAATTTCAGAAATCAGCTTGTATTTAAAACATTTACTGAGAAGGATGATACCTTCATGCATTAATTATCTCATCTCATGTTCTTTCTTTAACATAGAGATCATAAAATCATCTTAATTATTTTTAATGATACTGTGAGCAAACTCATGAATGATATCCTCAGCTGCAATTCTTTTCAAACTGCTGCATGCACTGCCTCTCCAAAATAATGTTATGGACCTGCCACAAATTAATATTCACTTCTTCTGCCAGTGACCTTGAACTTGTCAAAGTGACCTTGGGTCATTTGTTATGATAAATCTTCAGGTCATAATTGATCTTAATATCAAGTTTGTCTTAGTTTCAAACATATCTCCATCACAAGATATGGTCAGGACAGGAATTGAGACATTTTTCTGCCAGTGACCTTAAACTCGTCCAGATGACCATGAGTCAAGATCATGGCACAGCTTCATGTCATACATAATCTTTTGTGTGAAGTATGAACTTCCAATGTTCTTCTGTAGAAAGATTATATGAACCCAACATGTATTACACAATTTTTTTGCCAGTGACCTTGAAAATAAGCTAATGACCTTGGGTAATTGTATAAATGTGAAAACACTCTCAGGTCAGAGACAATTTCTTTGTCAACTATGAGCTTGGAATGCTTCTACAATACAAATTTATTGACTGGACCTAAACATTGTTTGCAGGGGAATAGATATACAACCTACATCCCTTGTATGATTATGAGTCCACAGCCTACAAATAAATATTTAATTATATTTTTTACTAAATACCATGCTTTATATTTACAAGTTCTTTGTGAGATATATTTTTCTTACATTGACAAACTCCACAGTAAGGAGTAACAAGAACTCTACAGTAATTGTTATGTTAACTCAATATCTCACAAAAAACTTGTACTAAATTAAAGACTTGCCAATAGAAGCTGATTTACATTATATGTATCACATATATATTAAGCAAAGGACATTTATATTGTAGCCCTAATATTTATACATATATATGTAAACAGCACTAGTTCTTAACTCTGCAACAAAAGATATCTTTACTTAATACTGGTTATCCTGACAAACCTTCTTAAATAACATTCAGTTTTCTCAATTTTTGTACTTTTTCAACTTTTAGATAGACCATACATGTATGATGGCATTAATAATTCAAGTGCCCTGTATGATTCTCTCAATTATGATAATTTGACATCTGAGCTGTAAAATAAACAATTTAGGTGGGGAAATTTAAGACATATAGTATTGCAGGTAAAGTAATATTCAAGTTAATTTGATTCATGATACAAATATCAAAAAGAAATGCATGATTTTGACTCTCTATATGCCTCATTGAGATCTGACAGACTTTAATTCTTGCAAAGTCACATGACTCACCATGTGACTCACCACATGACATATCACATGACTCACCACATGACTTATCACATAACTCATCACATGACTTCATCACATGGCAAAGACAGTTACTGTTAACCATGTAATTTATAAGTAACTGCTGAATACATTATATTCTCTTTGTTCAAAATAATGTAATTTTTATTCATTTCTTAAGTTTTAATCTTCAATTATGTCCATTAACAGAGAATATGATAAATAAATCTTTTCTAAATCCAACTCACAATTTTTTTTTCAAGAATTACAGTATTCATTAATTCCAGGACCAAAAGTACAACATTTATTAGCCTGACCAGTGATTATATCTTCAAAGTACTGGCTACCATTATTACTCTACATGTAGTAACATTTGAATACAGATCTATGAATATACTTTATCCATGACAGATTTTGCTATCACCCACACAGGCTTACAAGTATCCTTATTCCTACATTTTGCTCTAACTTGTATAAATTATGAGCCATCCCAGTCAGTAATACATGAACTTTGAATTAGCTAGCAACACCTCTATCTAACCCCAACTACTAGTGCTCTATGCATTATCCAAAAATACATCCAAATCAATTGATGTTTTGAACTGTTTGAACTGTCTTCAACATGTTGGTATTTATGAATTCATTTAAGTATTATACTTACATGTACATTGCTTTCTCTAAATATTTCTTAACCCTGACATTGATCCCCCTTTTCTTTTAAGATAACTTTTTCCCATAATACTTTATTAAGTTCACCATTTCAATTTTCTTTCTATTCACTGTTAGTGGCATTTAATACTGTCAAGATTGAATCATGTGGCTTTGAAACTAGTAAGTCTCATAATATGTTTTAACAAAGAAATAAAATATCTTTGTTTTAAGTGGTTTTCACAAAAACATTTTATCTTGATTATCAACTTCATGCCGCTACATCATCTCAAAACTCTAATGGGTCAAAATATTCTGGACAATTACTGGTCTTCAATAAATTAATATAAGTTGTTTACATGCAATTTTAATTCAAAATCAAGGTGCTAATTGATATGAATAGCAAACTGACACTAGAGACACAGAGAGAAATGGTCCATTTTGAGAATTTACACCAATTTTTAAGCCACATCATTCATGACAAGTTAAAAGAAAACCTTTTAAAAAGTGAACATTTTAAATTTTTTTTTTCTTTTTTTTTTCCCTTGTCATGTTGTTTTTTGTTGTTTTTTTTTTTTTTGTTTAGTATCAGTGAACATTGATATCACAATTTAATGACACATGTGAATTAAAAATAGATCAGAGTACTAGTTTGTGCATAGCCAAAATGACGACTGAAAGAAATTCAGATGAAAGACTTTGAAACGTAAAATGTATCAAAAATTCTTTAAAAAGATTTCCAGAAAATCTTCAGAAATTTAAAGGTGATTGTCCACAAACATTGTGTGGCCTAGCTTCCTTACCTCAAAATGTAGAAGAGTTTTGTAGAAATTCAAAGAAAATTCAGCATTTTTTATCAACCATTTTTTTTTCAGAAATAAAATCATTCAAGATATTCCATGTGCTTGGAATTTAAAAGAAGTTTTGTACTAAAAGTTTGAGGTCAATCTAAAATATGGGTGTACACTTAAAATCTAACAACTGCCTTAACTCACCATGTACAACAATTGTAATATATCTTTAAGGACGAGTGATTTTCTTAACTTTTTACAGTGTAAATTCAAACCTATCCTCCCTTTTTTGGGCATATCCTACATAACTTTTATGGAAAAAGGTAGTTACATTAATGGGTACTGTAAATCACTTAGTACTTTCTTGGGACCAACTTTATAAGGAAAAATTATTTGTTTGTGGAGATTGGATTTTGTGGTTGATGAGTTACTGATGTTAATGTTGCTTGAAATATTATTTTTTTTTGGGGGGGGGGGGGGATTAGTGGGTCTATTCACACCAAGAAAAAGAGAAAGTTAAGTGATTTCTCAGTACATGTATAATTGCCTGGACCAACATTTTATCTTTTCCAATGTTCATGTCTGCATATACAACTTTAAAAGTGTCTATCATTACCTATGGGGAACATTTAGTTGTCTTCATTTTACTTCATTACATTCATGCATGATTAACACATAAGTTTATACAATGTATGAACAATAAAGGACTTAACCCTGAACCTTGCAGCTGCCTAGCTTGTACATAAATATTTATGTTATATATAGTGAATACAGGCAGTTGTTGAGACTTTTTTGTGAAGTACACAGCACCCAGCCTCTAGCCATGCTAAGGTCGTGCGTACAATTTCTATACAGTACCTCCGATTTTTCCTAAAGAGAACAAACTTGATCATACAGTAGAAAAAAACCTTTTCATATTCCCTATAATATCATACAATACTATAATTGCTCTTTTTGAGGTCAATGTAAAAAATTATAGCTGCCCAATATATTTATCCAGCCCAAAGGGCAAAGTAAATGTTGTACTTCAAATTGGCTAAATCTTTGTAATCACTAAAAACAGCAGTAATTGTTTTATTATATGATTCAATGATTAAATAATGCGTACTGTTCAACAGGAAATCAGGTGCAAGTAAAATAGCCTTTCATTACCAATTGTATCAGTTTAGAAGTTTGGTCCAATACATCTTCTTTGAAAATTGATGTATGATTATAAAAATGAGAATAATTGTGTTTACTGAAGTTTCAACAATAGCACAAACATTTTAGAGTGCACTTAAAATATAGACATATTGCTACCTGAAGTTTTCAACAAAACATTTCACAAACTGACAATAAAGCTAGCACTTAAAATATGTTGCACATAGAAAGTGCACTGGTTGTGTAGTCTGCTAAATATACATCATAACAAAGAACATTTTTTTAGACATTCAATAATGTTAAAATTATTTGAGCAGAAAAGATTGAAAATTTTTGATTAGTACTTACATGTCTTTATTTATTTACTGGAGTTTATTTAAAATACTACATGCAAAAAGTTTCCATCAAATACATTACTTTAAATTAAATTAAAAAAAATGATGTTAACATTTTGTCATTTCAATTTCTACATGTCTTTTTCAATGATCAGATTTTTCTAAGTATTCTAAGTATCTACAAGTATTTCTTTAATTCAGGTGGGTCATAATAAGAAAGAAATGAATAAGACAAAGGATGAATTGAAAAAAAAATGGTGGATATATAGTGGGGTAATCAAAACCTGCCTTCCGACTTCCCTATTCATTCATTCTGGAACAGCCCTTGCAGTAATTAATTATTTAAACATAACCGATACTTATACAAGAAAAACAATTCGTGCTGGGGAGAATAACACAAACAGATTACACAACTTCGCATTCTAATTATTTATTGAAATGGAAGTCCAGTGATAATTGTTGAGTTTTTCTGATATTTGTAAAACAATACTGTTGTAGATGTGTTCTAATTTTATATGAACCTATTTGAAGTGGATGCTCATTGGATGGAAATGATTTGAAAATTAATCTTTACTGTCATGTTTTTTGGCAATAACAATTATAATAATTATCAGTAAATTGGAAAAGAGCAAAAACACTTAAACAAATACTGTTTATCATTTTCATAGGAATTCAACAGTAAATTAAACTTATGTAATATTTACTATAGATGACGAGAGTATAGCATTAACTTGTTTTGCAGGTTTTGAAAAAAAAAGAAGTTTTAGAAACATCACTAATTAATGAATTTGATGTTTAAAAGTTTGCAATTTTTTAATATTTAACAGAGAAATTATATACAGAATTCATATAGTATCTGGAATTCCCTTCACTCACCATTGCTAAGTAGTTTCCATCCCATTTCCTGCGGGAGCCCCAATCTGACCTTCGACCTCCCAAGGCATATGCAGCACAAACCTTTATTCTTAACATTGGCCATTCAGGTTTGGGAATGTCCTTCAAAATCATGTTGGCTCTCCACCTGTAATTATGTGTCGTCTTGTAGTGCATTATTCCCCCCCCCCCCCCCATTTTCATAATTTTCTAATAACATGAATAATTTTGCTGAACAACTAGTTGTTTTATTTTTTGGGTTTGCTACATAATAGTCTTTTTTTTTTAAGAAAAAAAAAATACACACCTCATCAGATAAATCACAGATTCATAATTTCTCTGATATTAGACTTTCACAAGAGGACTTAGTGCAGATGGTTGAGGAGGGATTACTGACCTCTTTTAAAGCATTGCCACTAAAATATCATTACAACTATAATACAGTCCAACTTGTTTTCTTGAACTCAATGGGGGCCAAGAAAAACTGAGATGATACATGTATCTGAGGAAATATTGAAGTTGAAGTACAAAAAGAACAAGATGTGTTTGTGAAACACTATCCCCCCGATGGTAACACAATTCTGGAGTGGGACGTAGACTACAGTGCAATAGTTATGGCCAATTTTCAAGTTTTTCAAATGTAGGTCAAAGGTCATAGTTGAGGTCACATGATCAAAAATTTCTGTAACAGTGGAAAGGGCTTGTCATAATGAACACTCATGTCAAATATTAAAACCTTACCCTTGACAGCACAATAGTTATGGGCTAGGTTAAAGTTGAAAACAGACAGACAGACAACAGACAGACAAGAAAAAACAATATTACCCCGGGATCTTTCGATCCGGGGCATAAAAAGTGCTTGGAACCTCCAGCTCACATTAACGTATAAAGTATGGTATTCCAGAAAATAATTTTCCAGACACCGAAGTTCAACTGTATACATGTGTATCCTATTCCAAGTGTATATTTCAACTTTTTCTTAATCATTATCCATAACAAATATCACATTCATTTAAACTTATCTTGTGCAGTTTTGCAAAAGGTATTGTTTTAACAGAACATAATCATGATAATTGTATTATCTATGCATATTTACCTTCCATGTACCCTTTTTAACAGATCCACCAGTCTCTGTAGTTTAGCAGGTGGGCTTTGCCACTCCACACTTTTCCCATAATCCTTCATCCTCTTCACATTCCTAGAAAAAAAAAGATCATTCTCTCTACATAAATCATAGGTTTACAACAGGCCCATAGGAAGCAATATCATAATTTCATTTTGGACTGGGGGGGGATGGCAGAAGAAAAAAGTCATAAGACGTTATTATTGATGACAAATGAAGAAATTAGCTTTAATTTTAACTGTATTACTGTAAACAGTACATGTTAGCAAAATGTGGGCCCCTGTTTCCTATGGACATTTACAATATTATGATCATTATTTGCATTGATTCATCATCAATTCCAATGATTCAGAAATACATCATCATTTACCCCTAAAACTTCAATTATAACTGTCAGTATAAAATTGAGAAAGTCCGGTTGTCCCTTATACAGTATAGGTTGCCACCAGCTAATTATCCCCCATCAGCAAGAAAACTCAAATATCAATTATTTCCCAACAAAGGTCTTCAAACTACATGTATTCTTCAAGAAAATAGGACTTACTTGAATTTTTCTACAAGATTCTTCATATATTGCCTCATTTTGTACTTCTTGAAGCGGTCCATGATAAGGTATATCGCCCTCATCTTCTTTGCTTTTCTCCTGGCATTGCCTCCCCTCCACATCTACAATTATAAAATTTACAATTATAAATTTATTATGAAATAAAAAAAATATGTATAAAAATACTTATTCTGCATGTAATTTATTACTGCAGAAAGGAATGAAGCAATTTCCAGAGTACAGTAAAACATGATTACAGCAAACATGTTTATAATTAATTCACGCCTAGTCAGCGGCCTAGAACAAAATGATTTTATTCCCAGGACATACTATAAACTAATCATATGTAACAATTATCTAGACATATTTTTTCCCCATGCCTGGAATTAATTTACTCTATGTTCACAATCATATATTTTCTGCAGAAATTTGCAAAGCTTACTTAAATTGCATTTGAGGCATACAAAGACAATCAAAAAAATTCAGACGTGTAATTTTCTACTTGCAGATTGAACAGAAATTGTGATTCCACAGAATTTTGACCTCATGGAAAAAAGGATGTTTATAACAAATCAAAATTTAACATCTTTAGCACTTTGCTATAAGTTTGTTTTATAAGTGGGAATTATTGGAGGTAAAATAAAGGGCAAGAAATTTTCTTTCATTCATCAAGTCAAAGGATCTGACCATAAAGAATAAACACAAACTTCACACCTTCTGTAGGAAGACCACAATGGTGGGGATTTTCTGGGAGCGAGTTTCCTCGATGGAAAACAGAGTTTGGGGGGACCGGATGAAGATTTTGGATTTCCCATATTTGACATCATCCTCGAGACCCAGAGACTTCAAAATCTTCTTACACCCATCAATATCATTACCTGCAAAGGTGGGCCAGGTGTATGGTGTGGTGCACTTATACCTGTAGGAAAGATTAGTCATTTAATTAAAAGCTCCTTCCTCTTGATAATGTGGATACATATCCTTTACGGTGAATCATTGAAAATGCTCCAATGCAATCCTTTATTTCATAATTGCTTTTTTAAATGATAATTTCATGCACTTTTCAATTTAAGATCTAATTATTTAATTACATTTAATAAAAAAATACACAACATAATTTTCCATTATGGTACTTCTGTTTTGACAAACATTTTATTAAAAATCTCAGCATGAGAAGAGATTTTCATTAGTTACTGCCACTATAAGATTGTTCAGCCATTTTTTCCAAGATACATACTGTAGATCAAGAAATATTTTCCGGAGATAAGTATTTGGTATTCATTTGCAAGACAAAATTTTCAGGAATACCGTATGTGTACTTAAAAAAGCGGGCTTCATATTTTAGCGGCTTTGGCGCAGACAACGATACGCTAATTCATGAATACCGCTAAGAAATCCTTAATATAAATACAATACACAGCATGGACATGTGTAGCGCTAATTCATGATTTCGCCAACAACTTGATACCCAGTGATTGCGCTAAATTTTGAATACACCAATTTATGTACACGTACAGTATTTTGGTTATTGTTATAATCTATACTAATAAAAATATATGCCAGTATGAAAAGTGATTTACAGTCTATACTAAAGCATGATCATTTGGACTGCAGTGGAAGGTTATGTGTAATTCCTCATAGTAAATCTTGTCCATTACCTCTGAAGAAATCTGACATAAGTGATTCGGAAGGCAAAGCCTGCTCGTCTGACTCGAACATTTTCCATCAGACCCAGGTACATCACTTGATGGCGGACCCGCTCGTCGTTAAACGCACTTGCTGATTTGATTTCATTGGGTTTGATGCAACGCACATAGTGTGGCTCCTATTAAATGTAAGTTTATCAAATTTTTATACAAATATACCATGAAGGCATCGATCAACAGAGAAAGAGAGATTTAAACAAAAATTTGATGTATATATGTGAAGAAAAAGATTTGTGTCTAAAACATCTATTACTGTACATACAAATTTTTGCAGATTTTTGACGATCACAGTTGCAAACAATTTTGCCATGTTTTAAATATGCCCAGAAGTTGTGTTAAACGACAGTTTAGTCTGTCTTTATTGAATTTGCTCCATTGGTATTGGCCCACTGCAGAGGAGGGCAAAAGTGGCAAAGACAAAACAGGGGCAAAAATTTTTTTGGGTACAATATTTCATGTTAGAGTTATAAAGTTGACCAACCTTGGTGGCTAGGTTGTCTACCAGGGCTATTATCGAGTTCTTGAAGTTGGTACCAGCTGTGATTGGTCTCTTTGTGGTCTCGGTTATATTCTGTGCTCCCTCAGGCCACATCAGCTTAAAGATATCCTCCTCACTGAAAATATTCAGACAAGAGGATGATTGATTTTTAAAAAAAAATGCAACAAAAGGGAGACAACTCTTCTTTTTTATTTGGAAAATCTCCATATCCATTAGATGGACTGCACAATTACAGCTTTCTAAAATCAATGTTGTACACTGAATTCTTTTTCCTTTTTTTCTTCAGAAAAACGTAGTTTATTTGAAGCAAAAAATACCATTGATTTACTTCTACACTAGTATACTCCTTGTGTAGTTGATGGGGAAATCTGTTTGTGAATGAATTATTAAGAACTTCAATGTTGTTGGGCATGCTAATATTTTGCTGACTTCAAACTCATTTTTACTATAATTGAGACTTCATACTTGGTTTTACAATAGCTGAATGAGAGGTTTTTTTTCTTGCTGGAAGCATCATCAGAAAACTGGCCAAAGGTTATTTACAGGTAAGTTACCAAAATACCAACTGCACCCCATAAGACAGACAGTTTTCCAATATGTGACAACCCACGCAATGTCACCCAAGCAGGTACTGCCAAACGAAAGGTAAATTCCTTATGACAAGGACTGACTTACCTGTTATATAGAAGTCTTTTAAAATCCTGGAAAAGACTGTCTCTGTTTTTATCAATGAATCCAGGAACTTGATAGGTCACCTGACCTGCATAATGTTTTATTCTGAAGTCACGAGCATGTTCCAGTGTTTTGTCTGCAGGGTTCAGCTAAAATAGAACAATCATCATGTTTTATAAGAAGGTGTGATGCCAAAAATTGGATAGATTTTACATTTCACATTATAGAAAAATTAACAAGTTTAGCTAGAAATTTAAGTTGAATGAAAAACTTAATAATTAATTTTTTTTCGTATTATTTTATACTGTACATAACTTTTACATTATTTCATGGAAAATTGTTGCAGTTTTTACACAAAATCCAATTTTCATTCATTTATACTTTGATTTGATAGAGTTCTCTTTCTTTCTATTTCATACACACATCTTCAGAAAATTCTTATCAAATTTACTTTCACAAATTTTTCCAGCAAAAGTGTATGAAAGTTTACTCATAAAAACTATTTACAGATCTACAGGTGAAGTGGTCATGTTTCGCCAGTTTCTGAGCCATGGCAGTTAAAAACATCTACAAAGAAAATAAATAACAATTATAATTTAAAAACCTCATAGTATTTCATAATTTAAATAAAACCATTTCTCCTACATCTGTACATACAATGTACATGTATATATTAAGTGATTGGTCTACTTTTGAGATTTTCTTAATTCTGATTGGACTAGAATCGTATCTGACCTCGTCTGTGACCTTCCCTACACTGAGACACGCTTCGTCAAGTATGGCCAGTATCCCCTTATGAGGGGCCTCTATCAGGTCCACAATAATTTTGTTGTTGAAGTACTCTATATGCTGCCATTGAATCCCTTCTCTCTGATATTCCTCTTGCTCCTGTTTAAGGACTAGTTCTATAAATAGCTGCTGCAGTTTTTCATTGCAGTAGTTGATACATAGCTGTTCAAAACTGGAGAGAAACATAAAATTCAAAGTTACTCAAACACATTTGTCATAATTTTTTGACATTTTTTTTACTCTTGTGCTAAGGCTCTACTTCACTAACAATGACCCAGAATCAATTTTATTACTTTGTCAAATTCAGTTGCTAATTATTGCCAACAAATACATGTACACCAGTTTAACACCTTACACTGATCATTATCAAATCTATCATCATTTTTTGCAATGAAAATATCTCTCAAATATCAAAAAATTTTGGCTTCCTAATTTCGGAGTACTCAAGACTGAGACATCCTATTTCTTCTGGGTACTGGCTCTGGGGCCATAAAACTTAGACGAGCTCACTTTTGATCTCGGTCTCACTTTTACCAAAGGAATTAATAGTGGAAAGGTGAGACTGAGATCAAAAGTTAGCTGATCTAACTTTTATGGCCCCAGACCCTGATTATGATATGCTAAGTCTGTAAAGATCTGTTATATATTCAACTTCAAAAACAGAACAAGCACCTGTTGTTGTCAAAAATTTCAAATCCGTAGATGTCTAGGACTCCTATGACTGTATTTTTTCCCACATAAGAAATTCCACTGGCCTTTGGATCGATGGCCTCATTAATTTTACTGACGATCCATGTAAACATTCTGTCATACATAGCCTGTGAAATACATTAAAAGAACCATAATGATTATTTTTGACCAAAAGGTATATATTCTCTTTTTTACATATAAAAAGCATTAGCTTATACAATTATGTAACTGTTACAATACATGTGTAAGTTACATATATAAAAAAGAAAGTATCAATTTCAGTACTGATTGTTCAAACATGAATGGAAATAAATACAATGTATGTGTAATTTGTTGCCTATGCCCTTATAATATCCTTAGGTCCTCCATTATATCAAAAGACCAATTTACTGTTAAAAGCAAAAATATTTGTTGGAGATTAAATATCATTTACCGGTATTTCATTAGTAATTCCTCAACGAAATTAAATAGCAAATGAAATTTTTATATGGTTATACATGTATATAAATATCTAAATATGGTTTATTTGAAACTATAAATTTTAAATAAAGTCCCCATGAAATCATTCTAGATCATAAATCAATGAAATATTATACCCCCACAAAAATTCCTGCTTCTAAGGTAATTTTAGACCTTATAAAAGTCTTTTCCCCCTCTGTGCCTGATTTTACCTTGGCAAAAGCATCTCTAGCATAAACGGCATCAGACGTGGACAGCTGTTTCTCCACCACCTGACCCCCAGCTGCAATGACCCGGAAACAGAGGGCTTTCCTCAGATTTTCCTTGGTAACTGATAACAACCCAGCTATGTTGCCAAGCAATGTTTCATCAGACACACCTGCATGATCATGGTCATCAACTGAGACATAATCTAGATTTCCCTGGACAAAAAAATTAAAATTCACACATAAATCCTGAAATTTTTAAAACATCTAAAATGTCTTCTAGCTCCTTTTCATTTTTTATGATTTTTTTTTTTCAGTTTGCATAGAAATAATGGTAAGTACATAATGACAAGAAATTGAAAATGAGAAAAGATATAACAGATGAAACATGCCAGACATTTACTCACTTGAGCTTACAGCTCAGGTGAGCTAAAATGCTTTAATTTGAAAGTATACACAGATAATTTACCAGATGCAGAATGGCAGCCACAATTTTCCACAGTGCCTCAGCGTGAGCATAAGAGAACCCCATGATCTTCAGGGCATTCATTACAGCCCTATAGTCGTCCCTGTCATGTACCGTCGCACACTGAAATAAAGGAACAGTCATTACTCAGTAGCACTAATATGCAGTTCAAACTTTTTTGGGTCGACTTATTACTTACCTATAAATAAGGATGGGTACATGTAATTTCAGAAAGCAGCAATTATTTTACTTATCATGCTTATATACTGCTTATAAATGTATATCTTTACTAAACACTTTGATGATAATTGGATCATAAAAATAAATTTTACTTGTTCAAATTTTTTTTTGGCAGACCAACAATACAGTCTATACTCATGCGATAAACACCAAGCATTTAAAAAATTAAACCAAAATAAAAATGAATGGAAGTTTAAGTTAAAAAAGGGAGCAAAAAAATCCTCACATTCTCAGCATCACTTAATATTTACACATAGCAACCATTTCAATACTGCTCCACAAACAAAAGCTGTCACCAATTCTCTTTATTTTTTATCAACAACACTAGCATACCATCTTTTTTTTCCCAGTTAATTCACTCATTTTTGTAAGGTCAATTTGTTGTTTGAATTAAGACAAAATAAGCGGGAAATTGATTTCATGGATGACAAGTGAACATGATAATTGTTCTCAAGTTTGAAATTTTCAACTTTTTTATAGAGGACATTAATTCATTATTTTGGGTCTCTCCTCTTATCATGAAAACAACAAAATTCTCACTTCAGCTCACTGTAAAAGTGGAAGTGCTAAATCAAAGGTGCAGATCCAACTTTTACCCATGATATGTTCAACCCAATGAGAATTATTCATTTCACTGTAATATTTATTCCCTTTAGAGGTCTTCTTCAGTCATTTTAATGGCTGATCTACGCTAGTTAGCCTGGATTATATGTATCTTAATCCAATTAATCTAATTCATCCAAATCTGCAATTTTATCAGTGACTTTACCATTATATAAAATGCAACTGATAGCTGCATGCCATTTTTTCATTATTTCAGATTTATTGAAAACCCAAATAAATAAAAACAACATTTTTTGCAGAAAATATATACATTCATTAAGCAATCACATATCCTCTGGTCACTATATAAATACATATAGCGATTTCCCATACATGCATGGACATGTAATGAAACCATTTTACTATAATTTGGTATGAATTTCCTGTTAATTGACAGGAAAGTTAATTAAATATTTAACAACAAAGTCACTTTATGATCATTTTTATGATAATATACGATATTTGATATTATCAAGAATGCCTTTAAGTAAAGATGCCTAATCCAAATATACTTAATGTTGCTTATAGATTATGCCATCGAGTACATAATTATGATTTTAATATATAAATTATGACATTTTACCTTTTCCTTATTTCTGTATTCATTATTAATCAAATCTTTTAATTCAATAATTATTAATTATTATATTTTAATCAATAAACATGATAAAATACATTTAATTTCCCAAATTTTTCAATGTAAAATTAGATAATTAATTCAATATTATATACATGCAATTATATCTTAATTTAAAATTTGATCCCTTTACTGAAGAGTAAAATTATCCAGTGAAAATTAGGACTATAATTACAAAGAATATTTCTTCTGGACTTCTTGATAAATAATATTTAAGTTATACAATTATACATGTAGTAAAACTGCTATAGTCAATTTTCTGGGATATGGCAGAAATTAGTCTGATATAATTTAAATGTAATTCCACTATTTATTATTTTCTACTATTGGGTGAAAAAAACTCATGTTTAATGTACATGATGTAAGCATGAATTTGCAATACCCAAGTTTGCTATAAATTAAACCTTTTTTAAAAGTTTTATATTGGATTAGATATACAGGGTGGAACTAAAGGTGAGAGGGTGATAACTCGAGACTTCTCTCCCCTGCATGTACAATCGGAAAAGAAAATTTTACCTAGAATTTTCTGTTAACATGAATATTCATTACAATATTTTTGATAATCCATATAAATTGCATATAGAATACATGTACTGAATTCTGTGGATTTGGGTATATACATATATTCACATACCCCAGTTCATGCTTATACACCACAAACGTAAAATATGAATTCAACACTACAGGTTATAATTTCTATAAGATATGTGCACTAGCTGTAGTCACATACACAAAAAATGACAAAATACCATAAATATGATTATAATTATTAATTAATTATCATGATATTGTACCTTTATCTTTTATAAATTATGTTTACTGTACTTACTTTTTCAATCTAAAAAATGTGTAAAATATACAACAAAAATATAAAATAAAAAATAATATACAAAATATGATTGAAATGAAATAATAAGAAAACTTAACAGCTGAGTCCATCCTGTCCTATGTTAACTAGTGAATATTTGTGTATTTAATAAATTGACCAGGATATCTTTATTGTACCTAAAAAGTAATTCTTTCATTTAGAAATAATATATTTTCTATAAATATGTTAGGTATTGAAAACACCATTAAAGTTCACAGTGATGTCGTTAGAATATGACATCACAACCTTGCTTAATTCATCCACTCCTTACAATGTTTTGAAGGTCACAAGAAGTGCCATAGTTAATGGATGGACAAATCTTATTTCAGAATGGTGCCTTGATATAATTTACACAATATGTGAATACCATGAATACAGTTGGAACGTAGTAGACTTATAAAGCATTTACTTTGTGTAATGGGGACCAAATTTGGGAAAAGTTACAAGAAGAATATATATCTCAATGTCCTCTCTCTCTCTTTCTCTCTCTCTCTGACAGAATAAACAATCAGTTATACAGATCACCAACACATCTGAGAATTAATGCTCAAAGTAGACTGATTTTGTTGACCTTTCAAACCTATGGTGGTCATCATCAGAACCATAATGTGTCTGATGACGAATGCCCTTTGATTGAATCCGGTCAACAAAATACATCCACTTGACTGTGCATTCTCACCATGTGATGGTTGATCTGTTCATTTCTTTAAATTTACAACTTTAAATCCAGACCATGTGGTATCCACTCTTAAAATAACTTCCACAATTATAACTTAATTAACTTTTGGACTGACAGAATAAATCTCTGAGGGAAAGATTTTAATTGACATATTCAAATAGGGAAAAATACAGTAAGAGGAAATTACAATAAAGAGGGGGAAAAAAAGGAAGGACATCCCGGCTGTCTGGGAAATCGTACTTAACACATCAAATATATACAACACTTCAAAAAAGTTTTTTCCAGGAATGTTTTCAACGGAAAATAGATGTTTATATTTCTAGGAAACTAATCATGTACAAGTACTAGTAAACATGAATTAATATAAGAACGAACAGATAATTTTAGAGAGATGTAAATTGTACATAATTTAGATCCACATGAAATATAAATATCCATTTTAATCTATTAATTCATTTTTTCACAGGTGAGGGAAATGGGGCATGTTTACCTCCTCTGGCAAGTTAACTCCCTATCAAAATCAACACTTCTTAAGGTTTTATCATTAATTAATAAAGACATTACTTTGAATTACAGAACAATCTGAATTGTTTCAAAAAGTTTTAAACTAAAATGGCACATGTTGGGAAAAAAACCTCAAATGAAGTCTCCATGAAATATCAAATTTTCCATCTTTGAAGCATGATAATTTATTTTTTCCTTCCAAGTTAGAGTCCTCTTTGACAAACTTATATCCCTAGTTTTTACCTACAATTTCTAAAATTTCTATAAGTGTTCTTGTATACACCTACATGTAAACACCCTGTCATATCTCCAATTTCACTAAATATGAAATCTATACATACCTTCGGATCCCCTCCCTGGTTGACATAGAAGTATTTCTGAGGTTCCCGTGCTAATTTGTACTCCTTTAACTTCTCGTCCTTAGCTCCGTACAGTAGCTGGTAAAATGAGTGAAAATTTCTCTCTCCGGCCTGTTGATGGACTACGCGTGACTGAAAAATGAAAAACCTGTCTCATAGAGAAAATGGGGAGTGTACACATTGCCTTTCCATTATTAGGTACAGTCCCTGAAACGTTCTACTTTCCCACTTGAACGGTGAGCGAACGCTGAACGAACGGTGAACGAACAGTGAACGAACGCAGAGCGAACGGTGAGTGAACGATGTGTGAACGCTGAACGCAACTTGGTGAACGATGTGTGAACGGTGAACGGTGAGCGAACGCAGAACGCGAACGGAGCGCAAACGCGAACGCAAAGTGAACGGTGAACGAACGGTGAACGCAAGATGAACGATATATTCGGAATGCCTCTGATCTTTTCCTTGCATTGAAACTATTTTATTGTATTATAATGTCAGGTGCCAAAAAAAAAAAAAAAAAAAAAAAAAAAAAAAAAAAAAAAAAAATAATAATAATAAAGAAGTAAACAAATAAATGAATGAATAAATAAGTCAATAAAATAAATTCTCCAAAATTGTCCTAAGAAAGACGATGCATGCACAATAAGTTTTTAATCACACAATTTTTATCGCATTAAAACATTGCAATTGTTGCCGAACGCTGAAGTATAAAAGATATTATTTTTAGTTGGAAAATAAAAATGTTTATTCTTAGTTGATAACAAATCAGAGAAAACTTATGATTTATAGAATGAATTAAAGCGATTGTAACTTATACTCATATATATATCTCCGTGTCAAGGCGATTTCGAGTAAAGTAACGAAAAAAATTAATTACATTTATACGCTCGTATTTTAAATTTTTAATACAATAACATATTATGTGTCATTTCTATTTTTCATCATGATTTATTGAGCAGACGTCTACATGTATCTCTAGATGGCCGTGATTATACTCGGACAAGATGATACAAAGATACATATTCATATTATTTGTTATAAATTCAATTTTCAGAACTTGATAATTAAGTAATATGGTGTTATAGTTTTTATTAAACAGACAAATGAGAGAGAGAGAGAGAGTAATATTCAGTTTTAGCCCCCCCCCTTCTTCAGGCTTCACCAAATGTTTGTACCTATATCAAACAAAAACTCTGAAATTTTTTTCTAAATATATCAGACAGTGAAAGTAACTTTTTTTTTTTTTTATCAACAAATCATATCCATTTTTTTGACAGTCATACTCGTTTTTATTTTCCTGCTTCAAGTTCACACGAAGTCCACGTGCTTGTCCTGTCAATCAAAATCATTCGACACTGTGCTGGTGTGAAAGTTTCGTCATATCGAAGACGAACTGCGAGTATTTCCAACAAGTTATAACAATTATTTTTATCATTTCTAGATTTGATTCCAACATTTGAATAATAAATTAGTAAAATACATTGGGCATTTTAAAACACTTGAATGTGAAACATACTCTCTGCCAATTTCAAATACCACCGCCGACACGTGTACATTTTGATCTACTATTGTTTTGTGACTTTTTTAGATGCATGTTTGTTTTGAGACTGAAATTTTTGTTCTAAAAAAGACCGGAGCTTTGTTTTTTAAATGTTAATTAAAATATTCTGGAAATACGGTACTGACTAAGTCACCGATTTAGGGGGAAAGGGGGGGGGATTAATCATATCGAATGGCAAACATATAAAGTTACGGTGAAGAAAGATTTTTTTTTCTCTATAACTATAGACTTTACATATTACAGTAGAGAAATTCTGTAGTGCATTACATTTTAAATAAATATTTCCTTTAACCACACTATCAATTTAATTCGTTCTAAAGATAATAAATTAACAGGATATCCGCAGTACTATGTATAACTCTCAGAACTACTTCTATTATATTTTGTAACAACATTTATTTTCCAGAGTAATTTAATAAATAACCTAACAGCTAAGTTAGAATAATAAAAATATATATCGTAGATATTTTTCCTCATGAAATAATGATTCTTCAAACACGATATGTTAGTTAATAAATTAAAAAAACCTGTAACTCCTTAAGTACAAAAAGATAAGTCCTTTCACTTCGGAGTTCCGAATGACAATGAAAACTGAACGATAGGTGAACGCTGAACGCAAGGTGAACGCAAAGTGAACGGAACAAAGAGCGAACGCTGAACGCTTTGTGAACGGTGAACGCGAGCGCACGGTGAACGCTGAACGCAAAACTGTGAACGGAGAGCGAACGGTGAACGCACGCTGAACGAACGGTGAACGCACGCTGAACGAACGGTGAACGAACGGAAAAATGGGAAAGTAGAACGTTTCAGGGACTGTATTAACAGCATCAAATGCTAATTAATCAATTACTTATCTAATGTACATGAAAAACTGTTAAACAGGACTGGTACATGTACTTTGAAACTTCTGTAATATCTTACAACTTTTAAAAGAGCTTTCATGTTAAAACACTATAATGTAATATTCCATCAGAATATTCTTTTATAATCATGATAATATCTATAACACAGTGAGAAATAATCCTGTACTCACAAGAATACATACATTTTAAAGTTGATAACTATGTGTAGAAAACATAATGTATTATAAACTATCTCTCATCATCTTCAAATGAAAAACAACAGTCAACACAGAGAGAAAACTCATACCTTCTCTAATAAGTAGTTATTGATGTGCCCCCCTATGGGATCCCCTTTAAAGTCAAAGTTGATATCCATATATTTTCCAAACCGACTAGAGTTATCGTTCCTGTTTGTCTTAGCATTCCCAAAAGCCTCCAAGATAACGTTGGACTTGACCAGGACATCTTTAACCCTGTTAATACAATATTTTAAAAAATGACATTCATTTAGTATTTGCTGGAACCTACTACCATAGACATTGCTTCTACAGCTCATAAGAGATTAAATAAATGTATGATACAAAGAATATAATCTTATTGCATATAAAAGATGTTCAGTATGTACAATTTTTTAAATTATTAGCATCATCAAAAGCTATTATAAAATTTCTATTAATTAGGTAATTGCAAATTAAGAATTTCATTTTTTTTCATAATGTAATTAGTATGCAGGAAATTGTGACATATGGTGCAAAAGTTAACCAAGTAAATTTTGCAAAGTCATTACATGTAAAGATATGATCATGATGATTAAGAACCAAATTTTGAGCATCAAGCATATTATGACGAAAATAGTAAACAAATGTTGACATGATCCAACATAAAATGTAGATTTTTTCTTATTTAATATTTATGATAGATATATTATTATAAATTTAGTTTATGAAGAAAACAACAGCTTTTTAGTGTTTAAATTATTGTGATTATAGATACACAGTTGATGCACAACACATGTATTAACTGGTATATAACCTTGATAACCGTACTCAGCAGGACATTACATGCTGAATCAGATGTTGATCTTTATTGCGATCAAATTTTGTTCAAGATTATTGTTAAATGGAATAATTCCTAAAAGAACATTATTGTGAAAAAGTATTTGGAAAGTCATGAAGAAAAATGGGCTTTTACTGAAAATAACTAAAAAATACTTAGTAATTGGACCCATAAATAAAGAGCTGCATATAACTTTTAAACATGCCAGTAATATAGATCAATTTGCATTATTTGAATAAACTCTAGATATTTTACATGAAAATTCACCGAATTCTTTTAAATGAACTTTCATATCTCTTATAGATAAAAAAAGAAAGCAGTTTTCTTTCATATATATTAGGGATGTCAACGAGTACCCAGTTAACCGGGTACTCGATCGAACGTCCGAGTATCGAATACTAAAAATGGTACTCGGTTACTCGGATGTGTATTTTTTCTTATTTCAAAGTACATATTTTTATCAAAAACTTAACAAAAAATAACTTAAATATGCATACGGGTAATTAGCGTGTCGTCAACTACTAATGTAAAACACCCCTTATCGCCTATGGCTGTGTATATACAGTAATTAGGGACCAATCACCTGGTACGCAGCTGTTCACACCTATTGTGGTCACGGTCCTTAATTTTTTGATGGCTTCAATGATTGTTTTTCACTAAACATCGTTTAATATGGTCTATTATCTTCAAATCATTTTAAAATTATTTAGTTAATATACGGCAGCAGAATTGGACATGCATAGAAATGCCTCTACACACTTCAAAATAAGTAAAGATTCTAAAACATGTAAAAAAAAGGTTTAAAGTCAGTTTCCATAGCAAGTTTAGTGTATACGGGGGAAATAACCAACATATGAAAAAATATTAGACTAGCGATCCAAACAATGTCCGTTCCTTCTCTTTCGCTAGTCTAATCATCACAAACCTGTGTAACAGATTGTCGATCCTCCTTTTGCGTTGATCAAATAGATCTTAAACAAGAACTCTAAACCATTTGTAATTTTTGATGTATTAATTGTCTTTTGTATTTATTTAGTACCAAAAAACATTTCCGTTGGACTCCATGTTTATATACATTCATAAAACGTGATAAAACAGGTTTGGGGTTTAATAAATTAACAATTAAAAGTAAACAAACTTGTATTAATATACATTTTTACCGAGTACCCGGGAACTCGATCGGAAAAACGTCCGAGTAACCGATTATCAAAAATTGACCGATTTGACATCCCTAATATATATACATCTTGTCTGATTTTACAATGCATAGTGCATTGAATTGAGGTTAATTAATAAATTATTTGTCCTCAAAATATGAAGGAGCTAGAAACCGAAACTGCCAGGCCATTAAAAACATTTAACTGCAGGAAATACTTGAGACAGGGTGACAGAGTCTGAAATAATTTAAGTTAAATAAAAATTTACAGATTAAAGTCTAGTAATTAAGAAAACTGCAGCATTACAACCCTGCAGTGCAAGAGAGTGTTCAATCGTTGGCATGCAGAGTTCTATAGCGTTGTTTTGTACTCAACCTCTCAATCTCATTTCGACTGTAAAATTACCCACAAATCATTAAAATCTTGTAAGCAAATTCAATAAATTACAATTACTCAGTCGATAAACTTACTGTTCAGAATTCAACTTTCATTTTACTGTAGCAATATAAGTTTATTTCATTAAAAAATATAAAAAAAAATTCAACAACTGCATGTTGTCAGACTGAAAATATTTTCAAAATATTAACACAATATTAACCAATTTATTTATTCAAACCATATTCAATATGACTTTCTCTAACAGCTAGCATGCCTCTACAATACACACATCATATAGCATTAAAATTCCAGATAATCATAAAAATCGTATTATTATGCTGGTTTAGCAAATAACACAAAAATGAACAGCAAAAACTTGGTATCATTTGAGACAAACACAATGTCTTCAAGTGCTCATCCTTCAAGGTCAAGGTATGATACACAGAATATAATGCAGGGGCTGACAAATAGATTTTTAAGGTACTTGTCCAAGGGCAAGTGCATGGTCAAAATTCACTTGCCCAACCTGAATTTTTGCTTGCCCCACCATCATGACCATAAACTAACACTGTAACTATATGTTTATATATATTTCAAAAAATAGGAAGACAAATACTGAGTAGATCATGCAAGCCCTGTGCCTAGCTATATTCCTATGACTTATATGTGTATTTAATCTTTTTTTAAGTCACTTGCCCACGGGCAAGTGGTTGATAAAATTTTACTTGCCCACCCCTAAAATTCACTAGCACTGGGCGTCGGGCAATGGGATTTGTCAGCCCCTGTAATGTTATATTGCATTTTGAAACGTGTTCAAGGTCGTGAAAATTTAACGGATAGTTTGCTGTATACCTTTCGACTTCCTTTTGCCCACCCACATTGGTTACTGCAGCAATGTACCTCATAATGATTTTAGAGGCTTCTGTCTTTCCTGCTCCAGATTCACCTATATAAAGAGAAAAACAAATTTTTTTTTTTTTACTTTCTAATAAAAACACCTTTATACTATTAGATATGTGTGGCTTAATAGGCATATATACATGTTAAGCAGCAGACATTGAAATTTTACATATTAATTATCTTACAGAAGAAATCAAAATGACATTTAAGGTAGTCAAGGGTAGACAAAATTTTAATTATTCATGATGATTGTTATTTTGTGGGTAACTTGTATGTCTTCTTTAATGAGCATGCACGAATCATTGTTCATGGGGATGTAAATTCATGTTTTAAAGGGTTACCAATGATATCCATGTAAATGCTTAAACTTAAATATAGATCTTCTTATTTTTAGTCATAAACTGATTACTACCAAGCATAACATTAGGCCTAAGTATTGCAAGCTACTTAACGATATGATACATATCATGATACAGTCATGCGATACAACATATATCATGATACAGCTGTCAACAATTGAATTAACCGTTATCTTAACATATTCTTCTTTGCTAACCTCCACAGTTATAGAAAATATAAAAAGAATATCTTGATGCCCCTGACCAAAGTTAATAAAAGGTAGATTTATAGTCTTGACTGTATTTTTTCTTTGCTACCTATTTTTCAGCTATTTTAAAACAATAAAGTTTGTAAGGTTGTATGTAGAAGTTTCAAACAAAACAATGAATATTATCTTGAACTGTATCACGATACATGCATGGCGATACGATATGTGTATCGTGAGCCCTTGCAATCAATATGATCGATGTATCGCTGTATTGTTACATCTCTATATATCATGTATATTATGATATACAAGTTTCTATTATTTTCCTTCTGTACATTTACTGTGCTATAGTTCACAGGATATTTAAATGACATAATTTCAATACATTCTATAGAATCTACACAAAGTATGGATCAACTTCAAAAATGTAACATTTGAACATGCAATTATGCTAAAACATGGTACATTTCTACACTCCTGAAGTTGTGCTTTGTAACAAATAAGATATAGCTGATTTATACATCAATCTCTCAATGGGGTTATCAACATGTTCAGAGTGGAGAAACATGTAGTACATTGAACATGTTGAGCTGATCAGCATGTTCAGAGAGTGGAGATCTCTCATTGAATTTGAGCTGATCAGTGTGTTCAGAGTGGAGACACACGTAGTGCATTGAACATGTTGAGCTGATCAGTATGTTCAGAGAAGGGATATACACCTAGTACATTGAACATGTTGAGCTGATCAGTGTGTTCAGAGAGGGGATATATACCGGTATGTAGTACACTGAACATGTTGAATCACAAGGAAATAACAGAGAGCTTGAACAATGTGTCTATACATAACACTTTTGTATATCACATAATCTATTGGGATTTGAGAGCTAACAGGAATTTAAAAGGGCAAAAAGGAGGAAGGTATCAACTGTGTTTAATATCCTTCCTTTCACAAATATAGACCTATAATGTTCCTTCTCAAAAAACAAGCATCCAGTGGCATAACCCATATTGATTTTACTTTCTTGAAAAAAAGTACTCATTTTTATCATGTTTATGTGAAAACTAATGAAAACAGGAAGTTATTGGTCTGAAGTCTAACATCATCATGCTTCACAGCATGCAGATGGTATTACATGTATATGTACATGAGATTGTATATAAAGGGATCATAAACATACATATCAAAGGCATCTTGAATTTAACCATTATTTGCCCTTAACTAGTGTAATACATGCAATTCCATAAAATTTTATTAATAATTCAACTCATATAGGTTCTTTTTTATCTGCATTAAGTGTGAAACATACCAGGCAACATCATAAAATGGAAGCTGAAAGCAATCCCTTGGTCCACCACAAAAAAGATGATTTTGAAAGTGTGACCTTGAACTTGCCAAAATGACCTTGGTTAAAAAAATGACACATCCTCTGGTCATACGTAATCTTTGAGTGAACATGGACATCCAATTTTTTTCTATTTAAGAAATTACAGACTTGACATGAATTCACATTTTTTTCTGACAGTGACCTTGAACTTGACGGAATAACCTTGAGTCAAGATCATACAACACCTCCAAGTCATAAGCATTTACATCAAGTATGAGTTTCCAATGATTCTCCAATAACAATTTATAGCCTGGACAAGACTACATGCACAGATGGATAATGTGACTCCTATATATACGGCCCCAAACTTCGTTCACTGGGGGCAACAAAACTTTTTTTTAAGAGTTAGTGTCAAGTTTTTTTCTAAAACAAGGCCAAGATTCTCTGCAACTTTCATGCAGACTTCAAATTTTCTGCACCTTATATGACTTCAAAGTCTCTGCATTTTATAAAACTTCATACTTAGGCCATATTATTAAAAAAAATTTGTAAGATGTACTCTGACCCACATTTTCAATGTTGGAAGAAAAGTAGTCTTTTTAAATTATCTTACACATTGATAATCATTATAAAATTCACAGACTTAGAAATTTATTGATGTATTCATTGAACACAGGACTCCTAGACAAAATTAATATTTTCTATAAAAGCTTTTGCTATAAATGTGTCTAAGAGCAAAGTCAATCCTTAACTTGAAAAATGGTAACATATAAGGAGTGATTTTGACGGGTTAGTCAGAGTTCAACAAACAAATCATTTCTGAATTTCATTGTTTTTCCTACAGCACCTGTTGCAATATGACTTAAGAAATGTAGCACCTACTATCATATTAACTCAGAATTACTGCACCTGATATGACTATACATGTGTCTCGACTCTGTCTTTTCATGGTTTTGTACGCAGAGTCTGCCAAGGCAAAAATGTGGGGCGGCCTCTCATAGATTTCCCTCCCTTTGTATTCGTCGACATATGTGGGGTTATATATGTCCACCGTCTTGTACGGATTCACCGACACTACCACTTCTCCAATATACGTGTAGATTTTATTCTTACTATATCTAAAAGAAAAAAAAAAACTCAAAAGTTGTATGACAATAAATACTAAGACTAATAAAATAAATTTTAAAAACATGCTTCTAGTACATGTATGTAGTTTTATGAAAAAGATACTGCTTAAGCAGTGATGGAGCTCCTGCAAAAATATTGAAAGATCAAATTAAGACTTATGCATTAAAAGCCATTAATTTTCTGGTGAATTTTCCTAAAGTTCTCTTCATTCTACAGATGTTCACAGACAAAGTGGATTATTTTTTGTTTAGACATATGTATATGCCATGTAGTTTTGAACTTTAATCTCGTAATCCCTATGTATCTGAAAAGACATCTGTGTGACTTTAATGTTTGTGTTGATTACGATACCTATATAATGATGCTACAATTTTGTGTATTTTTCTTTGAATATCACAAGGATTTTCATTAATTGATATATCTATTCAATTTAACCTCTGGTATTGTTACACTAATGTATGCCAATTTTTTGTTTAAGCCTCTCTAATGGTACGTTGATTTTACAATAATTACATTGTATTACAAAATTTAATCCTTGAAAAATTATCAATGCATTGATAAGATACATTTTAAAATATGTCACCAATGTCTTTCAACTACATTTCTTCATAAGTTCATTTTTTTTTTATTTATCTGACATGTCAATGATCAAAAACCTCTTTTTAACATACTTTAGTTCACCTGTAAATGCTAGAAGGATATTTTAGGTTTTTTAATTTACTCCACTATCATTAACTGGAAGATCACATGAACTTCTAAATCAGTTCTTAATTGGCATACTCGTAAACTTTAAAAATTCCTTTAACAAGCTAGACAGATAAAAGTGAAGATTTTATTTGAAAAGGGGGAGGAAATTCGCCTTCACATACTTAAGACGTCAATAAACAGTGTAACCTCCACCTCTTGTGAGTCAGACCCTCTGGGCTCTGATTCTGTGTCACATATACTCTTTACTTTGTAGACTTATCTATGTACATATGCTCGTAGTGTTTGCTACCTAGATCAGAATCTTTGCACTGATCTATATTTTAGTTTCTACCCAGGTATACGCATACTCCCTGATTACGCAAGCAATGTTCATGATGTTATGTACTTTTTTTTGCTAATTCCTAACAAATTCAATACCATTTATCCTACATTTTGAAAGAGTGAGACATTTTTACATTCTTCGTGTTTATCCAGCATTTCATCCTTAATGTATTCATTAAATGAAGACTTTTTCATAATGATTGTATAATAGAGCTTTCAACATAAACACTCTTCTTGTTAAAACCTGGATGATGATCACCAAGGCATTAACTATAATTTGCTTGTAGGTTTTGAAACTCTACATATGTACGTACATTGTATCACTGCATTAATGTACCTGTATCATCATGTATATCATGCATATTCATTCATTTACAATACAAGTATATGTTTCAATCATTGTTATTTTTTTTTTATCATAATATAGTTAAATAATATACTGAAAAGGTTTGACTATTTATATACATATAAATGTAGCACTGTTGTCTTGAATTCTTTTGAGAGAGAGAGAGAGAGAGAGAGAGAGAGAGAGAGAGAGAGATTTACAAAAAAAAACAAACATTGATCTCATATTGATTTTTTCACAGAAATACATTTAAGAGTGATTGAATCAGGTGTAGAAAGGTGTGATCTGTAGACTATATATAGGTAGATAAAATCAGGTATATCAGACCACAACCAGATACATGCCAGCCAGAAATACATTGGTCCAATACACATCTCGTTACAGGTGGGCCTCAGGTGTATCATAAAGACCGAGATAGACAAGTATTATTGATCTATCTGATAGGTAATGTGTTGGAAAACAATTAGGAAATGGCTTCCAAATGTTGACTGTACAAAAAGAATGGCTATAGGTATATATAGTCATTTAACATGTTTAAAGACATATGTTTTTGCATGTTTTATGGTGTTTACTTGATGCTGTGCATTTCATACCTGTAAAAATTGCATAAATGCAACTGATGTTCTATGTTTTCAAGGACTGACATTGACACAGAAAAATCTACGCAACATATACACATTGGATATTTCTACTGCATAATGCATATATATATATATAAATAACAAAATGGCAATTGAAATACATATTATTGATAAGGAACTTCACTTCTGCAAAGAATCTAATGATTCATGTGGGTTGGGGTATTGGATAACCTGAGTCAATATATGCTGCATAAGCAATATTTATGATAATAATACATGTTTATTTTTAATTAGGAATTAAACTTGTAATTAAAATTACTTCCGATACAAACCAGTACAAATAAGAATTGAATGTACAGTGCACTGTACAATAAAACAACATCACAAACAAGACAATGAATGTCCTCAATCAAAACAATACGTGTGTGATACAGAAACTAGAGTGTTGTTTTTTTCATATCAACACGTTAACTCTCATGTAGGTAATGCTGTAAATTTCCCTGTCTCTGGTTATTTACATAGATCTACAAAACAGTGACATTCAAGAAAAGCATTATAGCTGCAATGTACGATGTGCAGAGGTGTTACCTCATTATTTACATCTTTAACATTCAGCAAATTGTCTTGATGCTTGTACATGTTATCTTTATATATTTATACTCTGTATATTTTAAAATTATATATGTATATTGCTAAGTGTAGACAAAAGGCACAGCACATCATTAAAATTCACTAGATCAAAAAACAACAGCTGCAGCTACAGACTAGAAAATTGTCAAACTAATTTCATGCTTTTAGGACTATAAACATGATCATTTATGACGATGTAAAGTATTTTTAACTACTTCTGGATTTCAGATTAGTTTCATTAAGTTTGTGTGTTAACATATGAATATGGTACAGTAATTAAATACATTTAATTAAAAGATAAATATTTTATGATTAGTATCGTAAAGAAATACCTGTACCAAAAAAGAACAGTTTCTTTGATTCAGGTACTTGTGTGCACTTATAATTTAACATGTTTAATAGATCTAATAAATATAAATCTCTAAAATATCTAAATTTTCAGTGTAGGTACAAATAAACATTTATGTTGTTAATTAAACACAAGCATCTTTGTTAACATCATACATTTTACAATTTCAATAAACTCTTTGCCCTCAAACATGTCAAAAGGGAATCAAGGCAAAGAGTAATAGGATGTAAGATCCAATTGTTATGTTTGATTACATACACTAAAGTGTACTTCACTTTTCTCTATAGAACTTCCTGTTAGTAATATGATTAAGTATATGTACTTCAGAAAGGCTTATAAATAAACATGATAAATGAATGTAAACTTGTCAGATAAGAAATTGTTGCAGCATGTCTTATCCACGCGTATAGATACAATAATACAGCACTAGCTGATGTACATAACATAGATATATCAATTTAAAAGAGAAGTTCATTGAAATTCTAACAAGTTTGAGTTCCACGAGATATTTCTGTTTCCTAATCAAGGAAGTAAAATGTTTTTCTTTTCGCTTTTTGTTTTTTGTTTTTTTGGGGGGGTTTTGGTTAAGCATGTTTGCATAGGTGTGTCTGTCTAGATATCAAGATAGCATTACTTCAATCTGAATTTTTTCTAAACACAGTTGGAACTTCTAACAAGCACATGTCATTATAATGAAGTTCTTGGAGAAAACAAAATTCTGCAAGTAGAGATTTTCAAGAAGGGAATACATGCAGGAAATCTTAACCTCAGTTGAACTTGCATGTATTTGTTGTGGTTAAGTATATGTGGTGTAAAATTACCTTTTTTGACATATATATGGATATAATCATTCTTGCACTAATTTGGCATATTTTTCAAATACTTTTATCAAATGCTTATTCTGTTTATCATACAAGACAGTTTAGCATGGTAGAATTATTGTCTGTAAAATAGAGCATAGTTACTCAGAAAAAGCTGGTAAACCAATCATTCTACCTGATCATCAATCAGTGGTAGAAATAAACGTCTATTACACAAAGATGGCCTTAATAAAGTCACACTGTGTCATGTACACAAAAGCATACAGTATAAACTTGGTACGTATTTGTTCCTATACTCATGTATGTTCAGAGCGGAAGTTGTGGGTTCAAGAACAACAAAGTGGATATTATTAAACCAGCGTTTTTACGGGAAATGTATGAAAGGAAACATAGGAAAATCATGTTGATTAGCAATCAGCTATTAGTATTAAAGCATAAGTAATGTAAAAACATGATATAATGTAATTTTTGTAAACATATGATTAGAAAAAAAAATAAAAAAACCTAGGTAATTTTTTAATTCATGCACTATGTCATGTAAACATGGAATTTTAGTTGTTGTATACATGTATGTATTTCTTTTGCTTTTTTTTTTTTTGACAGAACAAAAAGCATACATATTATACTATCTACAAATATACACAATATATTTTTTTTTCAAAAATAGGTAAAGGTAATGAGGATTTCTCCTTTCATTGGGACACAGTGTTAAGTTCCATTTAATATAACAAACCACATAGGTCCATAAGGTCTTTACGTCAACGGTCGATCTGTAACCCGATACAAGAACACTAGGCGTGGTTAAATGCCTTCAACTTGTTTTCATGAATGAAATGTCGTAAAACACGTGTGTTTCATTAGGGGGCATATGCATTTTTGTTAATAAAATGATTTTCTACACTTTGTCGGCGAAAATGAAAATAAATAATCTGTCAATGTTTACAACCAAAAATATACTTACCGCAGTTTTAAATTTTCCATAAACGCATCAAGCGTTAAATCATGCAGTAAAACAAAGTCCCCAACCCCAAACTCGGGGCCTTCGTGAATACTCCCAGCCATCTCTACAAAGAATTCTTGTGATTTCACATCTTATTTAATTCAAATTGGAGATATTCAGGTACTCACACCGATCAAAATTCGAGATGTCAAACTTGTTAACTCGTACAGTTGCACTAAATTATTTGTAGTTAACTCGTACTTCTTTCTGTCGAAAGAGTAGTAGTTTTACGATGCGACTGTCAAGGGTTTAGCTGTCCAGATATCGATACATGTAAATAATCATTATGTCAACTGAAATGCTATGGATATTATAAACCAGTCTCTCCGGTGTCTAGATGACTGGAAGACTGAAGAATTAAGAGGCCAAACGTTGCGAATAACTTATTTTACATTAATTTGAAAATGGTTTTAATCTTTTTAAAAAGAATTTAAATAAGGAGATATTTTTATGCAAGCAATTTATAACAGAAATCAATGATTTGCAAGATTTTAAAATCAATTTTAATAAAGTTTTTGGGGTCTTAGTGTAAAATTCTTTTGTAAAACGGGTCCCAACTTTTGATCCGACTGGAAGAACCTATTCCTAGACACAGACACTTGGGCGAAAGAACCCCCTTTTCAATTTTTTCTTTTTAAATCAGGGTTCGAAACACATTTTTTCTATTTTTGTATTCTAATATGCACAGGCTCGCAGAACGCAGGGGGCCAGGGAGCCGTCTCCCACTTTTTCTAAGTATAATATTTTGCTATAGTAAATTTTCCTTTATATGCTGGTTCCCCCCCCCCCTCCCCCCCCCCCCCCAAACACACACACTTTTTGTTGCAGTAAGATCAAGCTGTGGCAAGTTCCAGGATTTAGACGGTTAATTGTTTTTCTAATTTATCTATTTATTTGCTTGTCACATTTTTTTGGGGGAAGTTACCACCCCCATTCCCTTTTGAAACCGTTAAGTAGTACTACGGGACTAGCTGTGCACTACATGTTATTGATAATGTATATCCCTTTGTCCTTAATTATAAGCTGTTTTTTTAATATATATAGTTTTTGACTGATACCTAAAAAGAGAGTCAAACTTCAAGAAAAAAAAAATCAGAAAACCATGATCATGCCTGAGAAATAATCGAAAATTTTCCGGAGCAGATGTCACATAAGTTCATTCTTCAGTCAAGAAATACTGAATAGGGACTTAGAAATATCTGTCTCCTAAAAATGTAACGAACAAAAGCAAAGGGCTGCGTGGGTGTAACTTGGAGGAGGTGTCTTTTGAAAACTTATGTGGTGGACCTCTTCCCGGCCCCTCCCCTTTTCATGTGGCCCCTCGAGCTCCCCTTTTACAGATTTTTTGATCCGACTGTAAGTGAGTTGATTTGCCAGTGCACATTTCTAGCATTCAGAAGTAAACAGAAAACTGGTAAACGCAACAAGCTGGAAGATTTAGCAAAATGGACAGACTGCCAGACCAGGATTTGAACCCTATTATAAACCATGAATCTATGTCATCTTTTTAGGTGATTGCGAAGACGTGCATGACCTCCCCCCACCCCCCCCCCCCCACCCCTCCTGAAAATTTCTGTCATTTTGATTGTTATGAAACAAAGTCACACAAAATGAAGTTTCATCTCCAGCCTACATACAGCGTTTTACAAGTTTCGCGAATTTGGATTCGTGATTCAAACATATGAAAAGAACGGAGGCCTACAAGGCGACGACCCCCCTCTCTAATCGAGACAAGATATTTCTTAATTTCAAAAGACTGGTTCATAGAAAAGTTATATTTTTTCAAATAATTGTGTTGTTAGTGTCATCTTTTACACATTTAATTCCTTTATTTTACCGAATTTTTTCTTGATAAAAAATTTATTATTCAGTTTTTTGTTTTTGTTTTGTTTGTTTGTTTGTTTGTTTGTTTTTAAATAATTTTTTAGATATACATGTACATATGAAAAGAAAAATGATTCGAACTCTCTTCAATGTAGGTATTCATTTAGAATTTTTTTAAGGGTTTTTGGATTATTTAGGATTTAGGTATCTATTTTAGGTTTCTATCTCATGGAAGCCAATTTCTATCGATTGCTTAAATTCTATCTCTTCGTGGTGAACATGTGCGAAAGCCTTCTAAGTCTCCTACCAATTACAGCAGAGTTCGACATTAAGAAAATGCAATTCTTTGGCTGTCTCTGTGAACTCAACACAACTTACCTTACAAAGCGTATATTCATCATCCGTCTTTCCTCCTATTTGTTCAATGTCAGTACTAAGCATTATGGGTTTATTCAAGACATCATTCCCATACTGTTAAAATACAATTTATACCACGTGTTAACCGATTATCTCGAAAGTGGATTCTTTCCAACAAGTCTCAGTGGAAGACATCAGTGAAATCCTCCGTCATCTCGTTTCACTCTGCCTCTAGGCGCAACCGAATGCTTGCCGATCCTGACTTTGCTCAATTTAACATCCTCTGTGCATGCAAACCACCTAAGCACCTGTGGGTCATCCCCAGTAATATTCATGAAATTGTACTATGTAAATTTATTGTAAAACTATGGACCCTCCTAGACACACCGCCGGAATCGTGCTGCATCTGTGCAAAATCTTTCACGAACGTGTTCGAGCACATTACTACAGTCTGCCCGGAAACATCTCTGTATCGCGATGCCTGGTGGGAAACTGTGATTGAGGACTACGACATCTCACTAGGCGCCGAGCTATCAGGACTGTCAGAAAGTGAATTATACTTGTTTCTTCTTGGTGCTAGATGTCTAACTACCTCACTCTCGGACTATGATACGTCCGAACTCCATCTTCTTAATTTTCGTTTTATAAGAGATGTGGCAGCGGCGTAATACAGAAAGACAACCATGTTCCCTTGAATGGACCGTACAGTTGTAGCAGTTGTAGCCTCTGTGCTGTAACTCTGTTGCAAACTTACATGCGAATATTTTCCGGATTAAGTTCATCCTTTTGTTGACTTTTGCACTAAAGTACATAATAGCACCTATGTGAAGTAACTTTCGTTGAATGTGTATTTTTGTATAATTAATGAATCTCCAATAGGAGGAAAAAAAGAATGAATGAATGAATGAATGAACGAATATTTATTCGTAATTTTGGGGGAATGATGGTTACTCACATGTAAGTCACAAAAATGAAACCGCATGCTGTATTAACGTCAACAGTATTTACCGGACGGTATGTTAAATCAGATGTTAAATCAGAGACACAAAATGAGTGTCTTAAGATAAATAGAACCCTAAAAAACTTTAATATTTATAAAGTTCTTAAAAAATGTTTTAGTTGAATAAAATTGACATTGACAACTTTAGTAATTTTTGGGCTCAGGCTAGCTAAAAAGGTATGTCGTAAAACAATCCAAATATATTTGTCTTTATTTCAACTCTCCTGCCATTGCAAAATGATTTACTAAAACAAACCAATGGTAATAATGTTCTCAAATAGCTTGACAGGGCCTCTATTTTAAAATTAGAATGAAATTGAATATTTTCTATGGCACATTAGAGCTCTTCCTATCTAAACATGCTCATGTTAGCATTTTTCTTTTCAGCAATCACAAGTCTTGTGATACTGCGGTCCCTTGGAGGAAAAACATATACTAGTATACATGTAGTTATCATCTGCATTATCATCTCTAGAATCGATCCTTTCTGTTATAACATTAAGAAAACGTTAAGTAATGCATAGAACTTTATTAAGTTACATGTATTTAAGAGCTATAAGAGCAACAAACATTGCACATCAAATCATCATGGAATTTGTGAGAAAAGTTTTGAATGGATTTTGATTTAAAAAAGAAAGAAACAACATAAGAATTGGTGCAATGTAGATTAAATGGGAAAATACAATATAGAAAAATAATAACTCCAAATGACCAACTGTGAGAAAATGACATTTACAAATAATATGGCACTTATCTGAATAAAGAACTAGAGAACTTAGAAATGTTTAAGTTTGATAGGAACAAATATAAGTCGACATGTTTATGGAAAAAAAACTATTGCTGATGAAATATTTTTTATATATTTTCGTAATTTCTTTAATATTTCTGAAAATTTTATTTCTGAGGAGATCAGTACAAATATTGCTATTACACATATCGAAAATGTATCAGGGGAAATAGAAAGATAATGTAATATGCATATTTTTTCCCCATTTGAACAAAAGTAAATGGTGAAGTATCCTGAAGTTTTGTGTTTTCAACATTATATAAATTCACCCACACTGTCTATATGGTTGGTGCTACATTGACCTCGATCAATGCTGTAATTCTTAAGTCTAAATTTAAAAAAAAAAACAGATTAAATATCATATGAAAAAATAGACTTTTGAGCTTGATTTAAGAAATATGTTATAGTTTTAATTGCTGTGTTTGATTTATATTGTCCTCGCTCAGCTAGTGAGAGTCCAAATATGAGCAACTTGTGTTCAGCCTCTGTATGCTGGCCTTAAAGGAAGACAAGTTGTATAAAAAGTTCAGATATTTTATTAACAAGAAACCGCAACTCAAATAAAAATCAAAGTAATAATTTAACAAAACATTCTGAAAATAAAAATATTAATAAGTAACAATAATGAACATTTATCCTTTTTCTCTTTTTTACAGAATTCTGTTTCATAATAATTTTACAAAGCAGTTTCAAGTAAACAATTTATTAGCATTACACCGATTCTAAAATGATGAATATACTTAGATATATATTTATACAATAAAACATACGTACCTTAAAGGAAGACAAGTTGTATAAAAAGTTCAGATATTTTATTAACAAGAAACCGCAACTGAGGTTGTCAGGGCGCGCACTGCCGTTTTATACCCCAGAACCGGTTTCCATGACATTTTCACAACTTGTCGACCTTTCCAGCACCCATGTGATAAGGATTCATTCGGACAACACGCGACCATTGTTTTATGAGTAAATTAATTAAAATCTCAACTGACATATCTAATTCTTTATGCCTCGGCCGGCTATATTCGTTTGATACGAAATATCTTATATGTCCGAATGATTGAATGTGTTAACTTTATGGTTACCGTGCCTGATCTATGTATTACAGTTTATATACAAAAGGAATACATGTCATGTTGACCTTCTTTACAATTGAACCAATTAATCTACTGCATTACTCTGCACTTAAACCGCAAACACATACGTGTAGTACAAAAAAATGATAAAAATAGAAATAATCAGTGATATTAAATTATTAAGGTAAAAAATGAAAATAATACAAAAAATTCTATATTAATTAAGATATCATTTTTAGAGTTTCATTGGGATATGACATGAAGTCGGCACGTGATCAAATTCCATAACGCCCGAAGGGCGTTATAGTTGATTTGACCACGTACCGACTTCATGTCATATCCCAATGAAACTCTAAAAAATGATATTTTATTTCTTATATTTATATTTTACTTTTATTCGTGTTACAAGGAAAGATAGGCAATATTTTAAGACTTTGTTATGGAAATGTAACATAACGTACCTACGACGTTATTTGACGTCACAGTCGGAACTTTCCAAATGGCTCAAGCAGTTTGCTTTCCATACACAAGAAAGTCCGATCACGTGACCAACTGCATGTCATTGAAAATTGAATGTCAATTTAATTAATATTGTCATATAAGGAAAGACATCAGGAAATGTAAATATATAAGCTTAAGATTGTTTTTTATCCGGTTAGAACCTTTACATACTAGTCCATATGAATAAAAGATTTCCGTAATTTACATTTAATTACCCGAATGTATGTTTGATTGAAGTTGAAATTTAAGATATCTAATTTTTTTTTTCAGCAAATAACCGTAAAATTAACAAACAAAAAATAACAGAAGGCTTTCCTTTATATTACGTCAATAATGGTACATGTCTATTGAAAAGTGTTAGATTTGACATTAGTTCAATAGTGCTAAGCCATTTTCCATGTACTAGTATATTCGAAATAAGTTTAATACGATGGCCGACATCGGCCGCCACTTTCCGATTAAGAATATTGTCATTTTGTACAGCGTTTTTGTCAATTTTCGTTGACAAATTACAACTAAACTGGTAATGCTATATGTACATGTACAATTTTTACACTGACAATTTTCAACAGCGAAAAACATTAAAATTCTTTCGTGTGGCATGAAATTAAGAAACATAAAACAGGGGACTTGGTAGAGATAAGGAGCATTTTAATGATTTTCACTCTTAGTTTGCCTGCATGAGATAATCCTAGATGCTAGACGTAAAATTGTCATTTTGAAACCTTTCTTTTTTGTTGTATAATTAAAAAATAATCTTGGGATTGTAATTAAAAAAGCGTATAAAAATAATACATTTGTTGTAAAGGATATACATCAATTTACTAGGATCTCAGAGTGCATGAGACAGCTCGATTCTACCTTTTATGTAGAGGTAGAAAAACAGGATTATATGTGTAGCTCTACATGAGAGCATCTTGTCTAAAGTTTTTGGAATGTATCAAAAACACTACACTTTTAAAGCAAGAATAAAATGAGAACCTAAATGGGGACTATATTTGCTCTCTAAATACATGTATATTAAATTAATAATCAAGTGCTTGAAACACTTTTGAAAGGCCAACGCAGCCTCCAGCCTTCCACCTGGTTGGCCAATTATTTTTCAATGTGGCACGACGAAGGAAAACATACCTGTAGGTCACTACTATGATGAATTATTTTGTGCGCATTGTTAAATAATCAAAATTCATACATCAAAGACACTTCTGATTATAAACAAAAATCAAATTTCTAATACACCCAAAAAAATTCTTCCTGGAAGTGATCTATGATGTGACCAACACGTACACCAACAATGAATTTTATGAATTAAATTACTACAGTCTCTCGAGAAAGTATATCTAGAAGACAATACTAATCTAGAACTACCTCGATTTTGCAATTCTGCTAGAACCTTAAGCTTATCACTTTCGAGTAACCAGTTTTACGTATCTTCATTTCATATCACATGAAGAAATTTTAATGATTTTCTCCGGTGGAAATTGTCAGTTTATTAATTGTACATGCATAATATAACATTACCAGTTTAGTTGTAATTTGTCAACGAAAATTGACAAAAACGCTTTACAAAATGACAATATTCTCTATCAAAAGTTGCGGCCGCTGTCGGCCATAGTAGTTTAAACATTAATTTTGAGTAACTCAAGTCCATGGGTACATGTAAATTACATATACTAGTATATACATGTATATATAGTTTTTCTTGTTTGTCCTTAAGACAACTTTGCAATAATATTTTTTCACAGTTTAGTGCACTCGAATGGTTCTTCACAGTATTCGGACTTTTTCCTCCTGAGAACAGCAATCCAGGCGTCACGAGTTCTTCGATCTTTAACTGCAAAACGGAGTCCTGAATCCGAGGTCTTAAGAAATATTCCATAGAAATCTACAAAATGAACAGTTAACTGGATCGATGGTTTGAATTCAAGTATTGTATGCATTAATGCAGAAATCTATCAAAGCATATTAGTTTCATAAAAGGAAATACTATAGTACCTTCAGTGTTGAAGCCCCTGATAAACTTTATCTCTGAAATGCAGACTTTTCTTTTTCGGCGTTTACCCCACTCCAATGTGAAAGTAGGATGTTGTCTTATCTCTATTTTCTTTTCCGTTGCTTTTCCCTTTCTGTCGTACAGGAAGAAATGTTCTGAAAATAAACGTCCATCATGACTCTTAATGTTAAAGACATTTTAATAAGTTGATAATCATAGAAATGTCACCATAAATTCATGGAGAAACGTACCATATGTTGAACTTTCTATTTTCTGCTCCATTTTGCAAAAGGAACGCCAAGTGTTGATGCAAAAGTTAAAATCTGACACAATATATCCTAGGATCATCTCAATATTTTCAAGAATGTTTTCTGCATAATATCTCCCAACTGTTTCCACGGAATACCTCATTCTAAGCTCCAGAGACCTGTCTGGCTGAATGATAACACTCAGATTTGTTTCATATGATGAATCTTGCTCCACACTGAAATTCGACAACTTAATATGCGAAATGTTGAAAGCTTTCCAAATTGTCAAGTCTTCCATTATTATCGAGTGGACTGTGTGTAATTCTTCTTTAAAATTGGGCAATTCCTTCAAGAGTTTGAAAGGAAAAAGACTTCTGGACACTCCTTCAGCAATAACAGTTTTATTTTCGTTCAGAATATCATGCAACGTGGACTTTGGGTTTGACAGATCTGGTGAAACGATGGGAATGTAATTAACGCACAGAGTTGGTCGTTCAAGAAATTCTGGGAAATGTAATCTAGTATCCACCGCGGTGATTACACATGGTCTTTGACAGTTCAATTGCTTTTGAAGCGATAGTTGAAAAGCGGTACAAAATAGCGAAAATAGAGTAATTTGATGTCTTGTTGCCACCTCTTCCAGTTTTTGTAATTGATTGACTTCAAAGTGTTTCCTGATCACTTCACTTATATTTGAACCTCTTTCATCTTCTACTTTTTCAATCAGTCGAAAACTTTGTGGTTCTCTGCATTTTGAAAGCTCCTGGTTCCAGTAAGTCCTTAGTTCGTCTATTCGTTCATTCAAATGCTTTTCCATCAACAAAGCTGAGTCTATTGGCTGACGCACAATTACTTCTGAAAAACGTCGATGGAATAGGTTTTGTGTGGTAATATATTCCAGATCTTTTGCGATAACCCTAACACATCCGTTATCGAAGTTGCTGTGGTTCAACAAAATTCTGAGAACACCGAATCCTGAAGACTTCCAAAAGATAGCTTTTATGGGAATATCTTCGTATGGATCAAACTTTGATATGCCGCTCGACACCTTTTCCAATTCGGACTTTGAAGAAACTGTGATAAAATTGAAGCAAACATCTTCAATATCTATGATGCACTTTCTTTTGTTACCACGCTTCATACCAGGCTCAGTCTCTTGAAGTATTGTTCTGCATTCTGGATTGAATGCAATCAGATTAAGGAGAGAAATCTTCCATGTTTCTACGCAATTCAATTCCCAAAACACAGTGAAGTCTACTGTAATTAATAAATGCGGATTATCTGGATCGTTTTCTTGTAATTCTAGATAATGTTGCTCCAGATATGACAAACTTTCGTATATGTAATCATCATCTTTTGTTACGTCTACTTTTGACATTCTGGAAAGGAAATATTCAGCTATTTCAACTACTGTGTTTTTTCCTGACATTAAATAAACGACAGGTAGCCGAATATGACTAGATTCAAATAAATAATTGATGAGCTCTATTGCTTTCTGTGAATCCAAACCAAAATCTAGAAGAATTGACGAATCCTTTATTTCTGAATGGTCAACGGACAAAACCAAAGAAGCAGACAATTTGACAAAATCAACCCAAGATTGAAGCAACTCTTCTTTACTTTGGGATGATTCTTTATTAACAAGGTTTAAATCTGGAATCGTTGTCTGCTTGTTATTTTGTTTAAATTCTTTTCCCTCTTTCGCCAAACCTTCAGACGATAAAGACATATTGATGTCGGCAAAAGCAAATTGTACTCTGTTTGAAACCAATGCGTGATTCAATGCAAAAATTATTTTATGTTTTGGTAAAGCATAAAAACCATTCATAGCATTCACTGACTGAATATTTTGATCTGCTCCCATTCCGACTGCAAGTAATCCCCAGTTTATCACCTGTGCTGCCTTTCCAGTCGAACGTCTGTAATAAGCAAATGCATCCATAAACGCATTTCCTGCAGCATAGTTGGCTTGGCTTTTATTGCCAAAAAGAGACACAATACTTGAATGCATGACAAAGTAATCCAGATCCATGTCTTTTGTCACGAGATGCAAATTCCACGTACCTAATATTTTCGGTATCAAAGGAATATCAAATGTTTCATTTGTCATCTTGCTAATGGGTTGATCCCGCAGAACCCCTGCGCCGTGAAAAACTCCACGAATTTTGGTATCTTCAAGCTGACGTGCAAGTTTGGAAAAGACGTGCTCTAAGTCTTTTCTTTGAGTTATATCTACTTTGTCATGCAGGATGACTGAATTTCGGATATTCTTGGTGTTTTCTATGCGCCGATTCTCTACATCAGATGGAGTGCGTCTTGATAAACTTATGACCACTTTTGCACCACGAGCGGCCAAAAATTTCGTTACTTCCCAACCTAGACCCGACAGTCCACCTATAACAATGTATGCGGAGTCTTTCCTTACTAACAATTCATTTGGAACTTCTATTTTCGTAGATCCTTTCATTGACGATAGGTTCAAAATGCAATCTGAACTTTGTGGGGACATCCGCGAAACAATATCTCTATTTTCAAGCAGGATACGTTTTGCCTGTATAAATTGTTTTTGCATGTTTGTTGGCTCACATATTTCAAAAACATCGATCAAGCACGATTTTCTGCTTGGGTAATTTATTGGATTGTTTGATGTTGTAGACAATGGCAAAAAACCCTTTATACTGAGTAATTGTTGAAGCTTTGGAAACCACTTCACAATAACGTCGAAGGAACACACCACCTGTTTTGAGAGCACGATTAGGTTTGATGCTGTTGGGTCTTGACTGTCCTTTGAAGCGTCAAATACTTCTGTTAATACTATACAATGTTTCTTTTGTAGCAATGCTTTCAGAATGTCTGTGATATCCTTGCATTGCTTGTCATATAGTATGAAGACATGATTCTTTTTGTCGATTTTGCCAGCCAAACACATTGCAACAACAGTGTTTAAAAACATTCCTGTCCTGTAAAACGGTACCTCTGATAGTTCACATATACAAAGCCTGTTTACTTTAATAGTGCTGGCTACATTGATAAGACAACATCCGACAACTTGTATCCCATTTTTTGTTAAATGTCCTATAAACTCACATGCTACTACAGCAGTACCGATATCAAAACTTTTACCCCAATAATTTGTGATCGGTATTGTTTTTTGTTGCAGAAATAACTCGTTTTTGGAACACAACAATGCTTCCTGGATCGAAACATTGCAATTTTCCTTGTCAGTGTTTGAAGATTCTAAGCTTGGAACTAGAAATAAAGTGTTATTGTCTAACTCTGACCTTTTCCGCACAGAAAACGCGTTTTCCGTTGAGGGTTCAATTGTTTTGACAGTATTGTCAAAATAATTCAATGGCATATTTTGAATCTCTTTTGAAAGCACTCCCGTTGCTGATATGATGTATTCTCGAGGTAGTTCATTTTGCTTGTCATTTTTCACAGCATTGATTACTGTCAGAAATGAATTTTGGAGGTCGTTCAAGTTTCCATGGAGATCTATCATTATGAGCTTAAATTCAGGGTGTTCCTTTTGAAATGATCGACTGATTCCCCAGAGTTCTGATCCAAAAATTCCATAGATTTCCCTCTCTTCACCACCCTGTGTCCATTCTGTAATAACACATAAACTCATGCTTTGCATATCTATTTCTTGAAGTACCTTCAAAAGAATGTGGGATGACTTTTTCACAACTTCTAATACGTGATTCCCATTAGCATCGTTTTCAGCTTTTGAAAAACCAGGAACAAAGTATAAATCAACATCTCTCTTTTCTTTCAATGATGAAAAGAAATTTTCGCTTTCTGCGTCGCATGTAAGACTGACAATATCTAAATTTGAGCAAGTTCTACAAAGAGTCTCCCTAGCTTCAACTATCGCTTTCGTATTCCACGAAAACACCAAACTTGGATTACTGAATGAAAAGTTATTTGTAGGGAGAGTGATTTCCTGCCATTTTTCTTCATAGAAAAGCCTATGAATATCAACTTCGTCAGAAATTATCTTCATTTCAAATCCTTCCATCTCTGCTACAACTAGTCCATTCTCTCGCACAAGTATTGCATTTGACACTAGTTTTGAATTATCAGTCAGCACCAATCTTGAAAAACAAGACATCTTCGATGTTGGTGCTTGTTTTACTCTAAATTTCTTAACCTCAGTGGGAAGAATACGGGATTTGTGATAAAAACCTGATTGCAAGTTTGGATTTATACAAGACTGAAACATTCCATCAATGAGGACAGGATGAAAACAGGCTCTTGGTATATCCATTTGGACATTTTTTGTTAAAACAATTTCTGCAAGGCATTCATTTTTTGATGTCTGAAACTCAGATATTATTCGGAAAGATGGACCATGTTTGAAACCCAATGAATTAAGGAACTTGTAGATATCATTACTGGAATTTTTTGCAAGTCTTGTTCCGACACCAGCCACATCAAGTGTTACAGAATGTACTTGTTCCACATGCATCACCTTTCCCTCAGCTAATATCCAGGGACTTTGTGATTCCCGGACCTTAAAGTCAACTCTCTGTGGTGAAACTAAATCAGTGTCGATGTGAAGAGACTTTTGCTCGTTCATGGCAATTTCCAAAGGCCTCTTTATTTTCCATGAAATTTCAAGATCTTTTACATTCCCAGTCAACAAAATTCTCCCTATTTCAAGTGCAGTCTCGCCATATAATGCCCCTGGTACAATTATTCTGTTTTCTACCACATGCTCATATACAAATGGTGTGTTTGACCTTGAAATGTAGATATTAAATTTCCCGTTGCTTCCTGGTATAAACCTAATCATTCGACCAGAATGTCCTTCCAAACTGTTTTCCTGTGTCAGTCGATTGATCATGTCCGAGTTCAGACTGAAATCTAGCCTGTTGAATATATACCGTGGAAATGTGCAGAGACACCCATCCATTTCAGTTACATTTTCCCACAACGGTGTAACACCTTTTCCAAACAATGCATTCAGTGAATTAAAAAATGTTTTGGTATCGTTATTTTTCTGAACAGAGGGAAGGACTGTAACATCGTCATCAGGAAAAACATTTGAAACGTGTGCCTGGAATACAGGCCGGGGTCCTATCTCTAAAAAGATAACGTCTTTCAATTCATTCTTGACTGACTTCATCCCTTGCATAAAGAGCACGGGTTGTAAAACATTGGATGCCCAATACTTTGCTGTAGCAAAGTCATTCTGAATTTCCTTTCCTTCTACCGTTGAAAAGATTCGAACTCGCGGTGTGTTTGGTCGAAGTCTTTGCAGTATTTCGAAGAGGCGTTCACTGGCCTGTTTTGTGTGATGGCTGTGGTATGCACATGGAGCATTCAGAGGAATGAATAAAGCATCATTTGGCAAACGTGTCTTTAATCTTTCAAGCGCTTCTTTATCTCCAGATACTGTGCTCGACTCTCCGCTGTTGTAAACGGCAATATTGACTTTATTTCTACTATCTCTAGAAAGTTCTGTACATGCTTGGTTTACCTCCGCAGTTGGACAATTTCGAATGACCATCATAGCACCACTTTGACAAGTTGTTAATGCAAGTGACCTGTGATAAATAACTGTAACAGCATCTTCAAGTGAAAGTGAACCACACTCGTAGGCTGCAGCCACTTCACCTACGGATTGCCCGACAACTGCGGAAGGACTTATACCTATGTGTCTCCAAGATGCAGCGAGAGCAATTTGTATAGTAAAAATTGCTACGTGTGTTTTCATTGGATTGTCATAAATTTCATCGCTGTTTTGAATAGTTTTATATATGGACATGTTTGCATTTAGCTTTTCTAAGTACGTGTCGATTTCAATGACACATTTTCTGAACACAGGATTTTTTGCGATCATTTCTGCACACATACCTGTCCATGTTGTCCCCACACCACAGAAGACAAATACTATATTTTGTGACTTAGAAAACGTTTTAGAAACAGTTTGGTCATCATTTATTGCAACGTATTTCAACTGATCATTTAGATTGCTTATTGAATTTGCAACTATCAATTCACGATATTTGAAATGCTCCCTACGAAGAACAGATGTATACGATATATCCTCTAACTTTTCATTGAGATTTTGCCTTAGGTCTTGGACTATTTCTTTCAATGATTTTCGTGTAACTGCAGAAACCACAACTACTCTATGATTGGGAAATAAGACATCTTTGTTAGAGTCTTTGTTTGTTTTACGAAGTAAACTAAGATTTTCTATTTGGTATACTATTGCATGTGAATTGGTGCCACCGAAACCAAAACAATTGATAGATGCTAATCTACAGCCTTGGAGATCTTTTTTCCATTCTGCATTGTCTTTGCCAACTACAAATCTGTATTTTTCAAACGGAATGTTTTCGTTTAATTCTTCTGCATTCAAAGATGGCACAAATTGACCATGTTTCATCATTAAGAGGACTTTGATGAGTCCCGCAACACCTGCAGCCGATTCAAGATGCCCTATATTAGTTTTCACGGATCCAATTCTGATGTTGTGGCCATTAAAATTGGAACTAAAGAAATCTCCCAAAGCATTGACCTCTATTGGATCACCGACAGGAGTACCAGTGCCTGCAATTAAACATCAGGGCTAATTAAAGGACTATTCCCGTAGATCTACAATAAAACACGGTTAGGGTGAGTTAACAATGCATCGGATACATACCTTGCTTCGGACAACTTTAAGCAATAAACTTTCATTGAACCCCAGTCTCCCCGTGTTTTTACTTGTTTCTGTCTTAAAGGTGAAGATTTAAACTTTTTAATGATGCCGATTTTTATTTTCATGTTGTGATAAAAATACCACAAGAATGGCCTTGAAATTACATTAATTATTTTGCATCATCAAAGGGGAGTACCCAGAATTTTACGATTTTGCAATTTTTAGAGTTGTCGTTCTTTTAAATAGACGTCAAAGGGTAGGTTAAATTTATAAATGATTGATAATTTTACAGATTTTTTTTTCAAAAATTTTACTTCAATGTTTGTATAATATTTTTTAGAGTTGTTTTTAACTAGTATGTTTATTTCACCGTACATCGGACACAAATTCACCATGCATCGGACACTTTCCGATGCATGGGTAATCACTTCCATTTTCATATAAAACCCAAATGACAGCTGTTTTTTACGGAAATGTAAAATAGAAACACTAAAATTTCAGTGAAAATACAAATTATCGATATATGGCGACTAGAAGTGGACTCTATTTATTTCTTTAAACTAGATGATGATAACCCACGCGACAAAGGCGCGAGTTGCCATATTACTAGCATTAAAGCCTTTCTAAGGCAATGTGATGCATTTAAAATCTCTTCACATTTGTGGTTCGAAATAGTCATTCAAATTTAATTAGAAGGTTAATTTTCAAATATAAGATAAAAATGTTTCGATTTCACTAATTTTAAAACACAAAGATCAAGGTATGATATTTTTCTGGTTTAAATATCGTATGTCCGATGCATGGTGAATATTGTCCGACCCATGGTGAATTCTGACTTATTTTGAAAAAATCGGTTTTTAATGATATTTTCTCAATAAGTGGGGCACGATTGTGTCAAAAGTTTATATTTTAACCAAATACTACGTGTAAAGTTCCATTTTGATAATATTTGGTCGGTAGCGATATCGCATGGTGAATTCACCCTATTGCGAATAAACTTGGATCAATTTTAAGGAGGTTCGATCCTGAACAGATTTTTGAGCAGATTTTTGTCGACCTTTATTCTAAAATTCTGCATCATATTTAAGTTCTTACATTCAATTTGGATTCTACAGTGCAAATTAGACTATATTCAGTGAAAAAAACCGCTATTAAATTCCATACAAATAGGATTAAGCCAGGAACTATATTTTGTGGCGGAAGCTTTTTTAGAAGAAAATGGCTAATTTTTCTCTTTTGAAGTATTTTCAGTTCTGTTAAGTTGAGATTCCTATTTTTCCATGCTGGTTGCACACAGAGATATTTTGTGCAGTGAAATGTTTTATGTTGGTTCTGAAATATCTATTAAATCAATTTTTATGAATTCTATCATCATATTGTCATATTAAATGTACCGTAGCACCAAAAGAATCATATTGAACCCCGTTTTTTTGTTTTGATTTTTAATTAAGCTTTGTGTGTAGATACTTAAAATATCAGGATTCAACCTCGTTTAATAGGGCTGTGTGCTCAAGAATATTTTTAAATTGTTTAAACTTACTAGAAAAGCAAATTTCTGTGTAAAAAATATAGGAAATTACATTAAATGTTTTAGTTCGAAAATGTATTTTTCTTTACGAATTAAAATTTTATTGCTAAAAAATTTATATTTCATCTTTTAGGGTGGATCTGTTGGGTAATTTGAGGGTAATTAATCGAGCAGCCGGCCTTCTCGACTTAATTTGTAAAATTCATAAGGTCATAAAACTGTACTGTAAAATGTAAGTGTGATATTTTCTTTTTAAATGTATTTGCCGAAATCGTGTTTTACTGTTTATTTTACTGTTTAACTAAAGCATGCATAGGGCATAAATTGTAAAATAAATGTAATACTAATGCAATGTATGCATTTGAAACACACTAGGTTTAATTTGAAAACTGAATTCCTTGTATATTATATGCCGTATTGAACAGATAAGATTACCAATCATTAATTTATATTAATTTGTTTATAGTATTTATAATATATAGTAAAACTTGGTTATAAAGAACTCGCTTATATGGAAATCTAGATTGTAAAAAATCTTTCCCGAATCCGTAGAAAACTTTTCTCAGTGTTTCTTATGGTGATATAAAGAACCTCGGTTATAAGGTCTCAGTGACTTCATTATAACCGAGTTGTACTGTATTAATATTATAAATTCATATACTTTATTCTATTATTTAAAATATTTTCCCTGTATTATTATTATATTATCAATTATAATCGAATACAAAATCGCCAATCGGTTAACTGCATCAAGATCCGACCCATTAACTGGTTAATCGAATCAAATATACACTGATACTTTTGGTTCTATTTTCTCAATTCACAAGGGAACTCAAAATGACGTTAGTTATATTCTGTATATAATGTTTAACCGGAACACACTATTTTTTTAAATTTCAAAATCATAAAAAATTTGTCAGATAAGATGTTAAAAATTTCATCCTGCATTGTCATCATCAGCATCATCATCATCAGAACTATCAATTTATTAATTAATCATTATTATTGAAAAATAGAATTTAATCCAGAAAGCAGTTACACACTCAACAATGCTTTTAATACTCTTCTGACATTATAATGATTCGTGTATTGATCAAAGAAATGTTGGACATACTGGGCACTGAAGCACTGCTTAAAGCAATTACAAGATTTAACAAACTGACAAGTATACCATATTGATCTCAGTCCGAAGAGCCTTCAATTATGTCCAAATTAACTTTATTAGAGTGTCTTTCCCCTAATTTATTATCGATTATAGTTTTTCTTGTCCAATAGCTATATACCTATACCTTAGACCTATACTGGGCACTTAGGGCCATTGAGCAGTAAGGGATATTTTTCGTGCCAGCATCTACTGCGACACGGGACCTCGGTTTATACGGTGTCTTCCGCAGTGGGATTCGAACCCACGACTCAAGGATTAACTCCTTACTTTGCAACTCTATTTAGCAAACGCTCTAACCAATGCGCCACGCGGGCGACTTAAAAGCAAGCAAGCAAGCAGTGTAATTAAATAATGCCAAAAATGGTATCAGCTGCATCACTGTTTTCGTCTATGTCAAATTCCTGTGACAAATTGTTTATTTTGTAGTATCATAGAACTCGTATACAACATTGGGTTAGCCCTTTCAGGATAACTGCAGTATTACTCTCAATAGAGTTTGGCAAAGATTTAGATCCCAGATAAGTAAATGACTTTAACTAAACAATTGCTGTCACGAAATTTATTACTTTGTCCTGCAAAAAAGTAGTACCACAGTTGTCGTGAAAAAGTTTAATGGAGCATGTAAACGTAAAACATATATTCTGATTATCTTTTTCAGGGATTCTGTTGAAATTCTCGGTCTACCGACATTTCACTTGGAACATGAAGCTCTCTTACTCCTAAATTGTGAAGTTATTGGTTTATGAAAAATCTTTCATTAATTTTACTTGTGGCCAAATGATGAGGTACGGTTTTCAACAGATGTAATAAGAAAATAAAGTGTAGTAATGAATTGAAAAGAATGGAGATATATATATATATATATATATATATATATATATATATATATATATATATATATATATATATATATATATATATATATATATATATATAGATTCCTCGCTCAAGGAATTTCTTAGAATTATTCTTCTATTGCAAACTCCTTACGTCGCGGGTTCGAATCCCACTGTGGGACGTGGAGACCGGTCCTTCGGATGAGACCGTATAAACCGAGGTCCCGTGTCGCAGTAGGTGCTGGCACGAAAAAGTTCTCCCTCACTGCTCAATGGCCCTAAGTGCCGAGTATAGGTCAAAATTTGTAGCTCTCGATCGGCAAGTGATGGCGTCTCCATATGAGTGAAAAATTCTCGAGAGGGACGTTAAACAATAAACAAACAAACAAACAAACAAAAATCTATTGCAAACTGGTTTTCCTGAACATCTACAATCATACGCATTTATAAAGTAACTATTAAATGGATCAATTATTGAATCATGTATTCGCGGTTTTGATAATACTGTTTGCAAAAAGAGAACTTTTTAATGCTGACATATACTTCTGTTTATGTCTGGCATCTTTACATAAATAAAATAAATAAATAAATAAATAATTAAAAAAAAAAAAAAAAAAAAAAAAAAAAAAAAAAGGTGACTTTTCCATTTATCATGATAATCAAATATATATTAAAATCATATTAAGAAAATTAATGGAGATTTACGTCTTTGGACCCTCAAAAGTTTGAAGGTTAAGCAACCTAAATAAAGAGCAGGATCACAAATAGTGAAACCTCAATACAAGCGTCTGTTTGCAAGCCCATGTTTCCCACAGAACCTTGAAGAAGAAATAATGAGAACTGTGATTTATATATGCGATGTGCATGATAGTTGGACTATTTTGTTTATAACTTTATATTTATTGTCATGGTATTTGAAGAAGTAAGAGAATCAAGCATTATAAAATTGTGAAATACCGTGAGCTTCTATGTACTGTATACTGCTGGGATGTATTGCTGTTTTTTTGAAAATTCTCTCCAAGAGTTTGACCTGTTGAACACCCGAGGGTGCCGTAATTGGGGAATTCTCCTGTCCGTCTTGGTTACAGGCGGTGGCTATGATCGCCCAAATCTTGTTGTTGTCACGGATAGCCTGCAAGGTTAAATAAGGAATATAAATAGCAATAGCAATATAAAGGTGTGTATGTATATTTTATTTGACAAGTAAATATTTTGAGGACATTTTACATTTATGTCTGACATCACCTTAACAACAGTGGCTCAGTAAGAAGAAAAGTATTAATTATCATTTTTTTCCCCAAAAATCTCCGTTAAATAGGACCTGTGCAGTTTTGGGAAAGAAAAATAGGGATTCTCAGGTATGTGCGACTGGGAAAGAAGAAACCTCCCAAAAATATTTACTCAAACTTTGGAATATTATTCAAAATACTTTTTTTTCTTGCTTAAAAGAAAGAAAAAAACTTAAGATGCGAGTTTTTTTCCAAATAGAACCTTAAATTTATCGTCAGTAATAAGATCTCAACAGAATATTTTTTTTATAGACATTCAAAATCCATTTTTACCCCTCAAAATTTAATGGGTATCTACTCATTGGAGATTCAAAGTACGAACATGACTAATTAACTATATATAGTAATGTCTGCTTTGATGATGCACTTGAATAATTATCAAATCATACACCTTCATTAATACGAATATATTTATTAATGACATGTCCTAGCTTTAAAAAACGTATTTTTTTCCGAATAATTTATTTGAATGAAACCCAAGTTTGAGGACTCGATCCCAATCAAATAACAAGCTTTTTGACGTTCGAAAAGTCAATTCAGGTTTGGTGTTATTTTAGTATATCTTTAAAATATAATTCGCAGTGTCTCTGACAAATAATCAAAATAATAGTATATAAAAAGCAAAAAATAAATCATTTTATTTTGTCAATGTTTTGTCAGAAGACTAAAATGTTAATTCGGTGATGTACATTTCTATAATACATCTAAGTATAACATGATACAATAGGCATGAGGATAATAAAGAATAATATTATAAATCGGAAATATAAGGGAAAGTTTCTATTTTTGTTTAATTATGGGGATAATATCCAGCTTGAAATGCGTGAAAATTCTTGCATAAAGCATAGTGGAATTACTTCAAAATATTCTCGGATTTCATATCATCCCATGTATACCAAAATGGACCCTGTTTTAAGGAACTACGTACATCACCAAGTCGTTTCAGAATCACGATCCCGCATCCCTCTCCTCTGGTATATCCATCAGCATTCTTAGAAAAAGTGTGGCATTTTCCAGTCTTTGAGGCCATTCTTGCTTTTGACAATACGATCGGCATTGTTGGGCCTAATAGGATATTGACTCCTCCACATATAGCCATTTCTACCTCTCCTTGAATAATAAAGAAAACAGAACTATGATAATAAATGAATCTAGCAAAAGCTATATTTACAAAATACACATAGATGTGTATGAAGGATAAATATAACAATTTTGCTTATCAAAACTATTTTAAACATATCTAAATATATCAAACCTACACATTTGATAAAATTAAACAAAGCATTTACCATTTTAAGCTTTTGTTAAAAGAATACAATGTAAATCTATCAAAGCTTTTTAAAAACAAAATTTGTTTACTGTACAGCAGGTTAAAATCGCGGTCGGAAAAGATCGCGATTTGTTCAACTTGCGGTCGTTTGAATTCGCGGAAAGGAAAAATTAATATACAAAAAAAATTTTCAGCACTGCAAATATTTTCCTTACGTTTTATGTCGATTCTGAACCCGAAAACGAAACACCATACTGATCCCGATTAGAAGACAAAATGTTGTACGATTTACAATATTAGCATTCAGATAATTATTTTCTTTCTTTCTCGTGTTTTCTTTCTTTTTTTTTTCTTTTTGTTAAATATTTTTGAAATATATATGAGTCTATACTCGAGTGATTTATTCAAGTGATTTCAAGTCGTATCCAAAACATTCATGTATAAAAAAAAAAAGAACACCTTTGGCAGGTGTTCGTTCATAAGTATGTTTTGAGTAGCGTACAGAGTAGTATTTACTGCAGTATGTTTAAATCCCTCTGAATCTAAATCAGTACCGATAATCAAAATGTTGAACTGTTAATAAAATTGAATTAATGTGTAACAGTGTTGTCTTTACTACGTAAGTGCCTTGATTAAAGATAATAAGACCGAGTGATAGGGACGGGCGAAATCTAGCAATACATGTTTTATAGATAATTAAATCGGACCTCTACTGGCATGGGTGGCAGTTATAGATGTTTTTATCAATTAAGCTTTAAAAAAAAAATCAACAACTACGTGTTAGTAGTTGATTCCGTTCACCCGCATAATTAGGAAGACAGCCTATATCTCGGTTATATTAATTACTGCTTTTATGCTTGCAAGGAAACACAAATGGAGTTAACGAATCTAATCACAGATATCGGTAATATTTCAACTTATCCTTATCAATTTTTGAAGAATTATTCACTGTATGTTGAATTCACGGAAATTTTATTTCCGCGAAAATAGCGAATACTAACTCCGCGATTTAATTTCCTGCTGTACAGTATATCAAAGCTTTATTTCATATGTGTATGGAAGCCATATCTAGCCAATGTTCATCAAAGCTATAATCAAATAAAATATGTCATCAGAGCTTTATTCAACAAGGTACGTCTTACAAATATATGTAAATGCTGAAAATGACTTGTTACCGGATTTGATGGCTTGTTCCGCTGTGTGAATCGCAACAAGGGAAGAAGAGCAAGCCGTATCCAGAGTAATTGCCGGACCGTGAAGGTTTAAAAAGTAGGCCACTCTGGCTGATATGATGCTCCTACTAAGTCCAGTCACCGAGTAATTGGTCATTTGCTTCAAATCATGTACGGCTACATCTTCATATTCGCCATTCATTACACCTACAGGAGAAAAAAATAGAAAATGAAAGATGTTCTAAGACTGAAGCTTATCTGCGAATTACTACAAAGTTGTAAGATAGATATATTTAATTTCATTTTTAAATGATTATCTCTTCAGGGACTAAAATTATATCATAAAATAGACATGTCAAAATCTTAAAGAGCAGGCAAGGCTGATAAATTTTCAACATTTTTAAAATGATTTGCAATCTTATGTTGATTTTATCTAGCAAAAAGAAACCCCATGCGATTCTTTTTCTATATTTGTATTTATTTGTGTAGTTTTGTGTATAAATATTTTCCAAAACATATTATAATTAAACAATTTTGGGACATAAGGTGGTTTCTCTTAGAAGTGATGAAAAAAATACTGAATAAGACAGGGGCCAAAATTGCGCGCTAAATAGTTATTAAAATTCATCCCAATATCGTGCAGAAATTTATTCCTTTCAAATGATGACGACAAGGGTTATTAAACAACCATTAAACATGTTCTTCTAAATGGCAGCTAGTGTAAATCAATCAAAGTAATAGCGAATACAAATATCCCAACGTGAACCTTATCTAATTTAGGTCAAGCCCTCCCAGGAGTTAGGTGTTAAAATGTTACATCTATACATGTTGATATCCAGGATTTTTTCTTCTCTATTTTTTTACCTAGAAAATCTTCAATTAAACGAGGCTCAAGTCAGTCAATTTATCAAAACGAGCATTCTGATTAAACGTAGACTCAAATTTGTTGTCTAAATAAGAAGTCCTTTTAAGGTTCATTTCTGTATAAGTACCAACCAGATAAAATAGATAAAATTCTTTACCCTAGAGTGAAAAAAGCTTTCTTTCTGCAACAAAATCTCCTGTTTCTAATCTAAATTAGAATGACTTTTCATGGTGAACATATGAAAACATAAAAAAAGAATGACTCAGGCTTACCTAAATACACTCCTGTGTCTGATTGATTAAAGTCTGACTTTGTAAATCCGCCATCTTCCATAGCTCTGTAGACACATTCCAGAACTATCTGTTGTTGGGGGTCCATTTTCTTCGCTTCATTCTCCCCAATTCCAAAAAATCTGTTATCCCATTCACTGATTCTGAAAGCATGGAACGAAGACATAAATGATTAAAATAAATTGGGTAAAAGGTTCTTGAGATGAAAAAAAAAAAAAAAAAAAAAAAACCGGAGCAAATAAGTATATTTGTGATAAATTTACATGTATCACCATAAAATGTGACTATGATAAAGGAGAAGTCAACGAACAAAGATCGATCTCATAAATTTCTTCTGGAAACACAGAGGAGGGATCGGACACCTAGGAGGAATAAGCATCAACTGTTGACCGGTCACACCCAACGTGAGTAATCTAAGTCAAAATTAGTATATGAACAATAATTTATCAATTGATATGAAGCAAATCAGTCAAAATATGACCTAACGATAGGTTGTATTTGAAAACGTGGTCAGTATAACCACTATAGAATTCGCAAAATTCTGATGTCAAACGAGATTGTTGAGAGCACTGCATGTAACATTAACTTTTTTGTCAGTAGCTTGCCTCAGTTCAGAAATTGATTGTACTCAGAGCAGCATGTATGTACCAAATCAGTTGGGACACACACTATATGCAGCAGTAATGGAATGTTACTGCATAAATAAGGAAAGCTGACGATTGAAATGCTGAAGTCGTCGCGTTTGTCATAAAGTCTATCTAAAAAAAAATAAATATTTTTATAAAAATAAATTATGCAAACGTTAGTCACTTTTAATATGCACTGATCAAATCTTTACAATACTATAATTAGAAATATAAAGTTTGCGGAAATTGAAAAAGATGACCTTACATATCCTTTAATTTTATATCAAATCAGAGAAACTCTCAGAGTATTATATAATCAGATATCCCCCATTTATCTTCACCAAGGTTTCCAAGGGTCCCTTGAGTTGATACAAGAATGAATATTGAAATTTCATTCAAGATTACAGCTTGATGTAAATGTATATCTTTAAATATACTTAGAAATCAAATGAGATTTTCTATATGATGGCAATATTTTCTGTTGCACATGAATTATTGATTTAAAACATAAAATGATCGCAATTTGAATAAGATTTAGCAAACAATAGCCATGTTAAAATCTATAGATATATTCTGAAAATTACCAAACATATAAACTAAGGTTACATATGAATTTATTATTCGGTTCACTTTTCATATCATAACGTTTTTTAGCATGCATAGTTTTGTTCATGTTAGTTCATCATTAATGTTGTTAATTTAAGGTAATGTAAAATACCTATATATGTTTGGATATCTAACAATGCTCCTGTTTTTCCAGATAATTTATTTTAAATAAGTTATTATTTATAAAAGACAAAATAATAACCTTTATGTGACATGTACTATTCATATCCAATGTTTGTCAATTTTATTTAGGAGTTTATGCTCCTAGTTTTACACATACCTAGTTTTATGTAACCCTGTTATGTATCTAGCTTTACCCAAACCACAGTTTGGCCTTTTTAGCCAATCAGCGTGGCTGCTCACCATCATGTGATCATTGTTTATTATTTTATTGAAAGGAGAAGCCACGCAAAATTTTCAACGCAAATTATCATTAATATTCACCTGCCTGGCCTTTATTTTTTAGATAACCCACCTTTTTTGGTGGACAGGCAGGTTGTGTTTTGTAGGTAATTGAGAAGTTGATTCTCATGTAATTTTATGCTATGTTTGTTGGGGGTCAGATTGCATAATACTTATTGAAGATACTCTTTGTTTGTCAATGTTTTCTAGTCTTTTTTGACCCCCATTATTTGTACAAGTTTTATATTCGTCATTTTTGATTAAATGACATTTTTTCAATTCAACACTGTGTTACTGGTTCTGCCTGTCAGGTCAAAAAACAAGCTTCGTCAACTCGGCAAGGTATTTAGACAATCAATGGAACATAAATAAGATTATATAGGTGTTTTCACATGTTGACACTGCGCCATTTACTGAAAAGTCTGGAAAGGTGACTGAATGGCATAGCACTGCCATACGTCACCTCTCAGTAAACTTTCTGTCAACTTTCAGTTAACTGAATAGCAAAACTTCATCCTGTGGTATATTTTTTTTCTTCAATTTTTGAAATTTTTTTATTGTGAATTCAAAATAAATGTTTTCTTAAATCAGAATTTTCAACCATTTTAAAACTAGATATAGGATCCCCCCCTTTTTTTGCATCCCATTCTGAAAGGTATTTATAAAACTGTACCTGTAAAATACATCTATACGATTAAAAAGGTCTATCCTCCAGTTTGAAGAAGTGACCTTTTCCGGAACCTGATGTACCAATTTTCCTTAATTTTTATTCTGTATAGGCCATGAAATACATTTAAATAACGTTCCCATTTGTACTGAGAAGTATGTTCTACATTTTGTTTAACGTTTTCTGTATGAGTTTTATGAATAGTTATTCCTTTGCAATTTCTGTTTTCCAAATTTAAGATATTCAAGTTTTGCGTAGTCACTAAAACAGTCACGTATACTCTATTCTTCTTATCTAGTTACCGAATATAAACTTTTCTGATATCTACATATTCTTTAATTTACTAGGAATTGAAACGCTCGAATTTATCCGCTTGGATACCTTGAATTTGTTCATATATAATTTTCAACTGAATTGCTCTAATAGTCCTATATTCCCATAATTTTGTATGCATCACTTCGAGCAAAACATTGCAAGAATAATAGATCATCTTTCTTTTTTACTGTCATGCAGCCGACTTAAATCTAAACAGGTTGCTAAGAAACTTATTATATTCTTTAAGTAATTTGTTGTACCAATCATTTTGCAGTTTCATTTGTTAGACTTTAGAATTTTACATATTAAGCTCTTATTTCCTTTCACTTTAAAATTGAAATGAAATATATGGAGATAACGAACAGTATTCAAGCTCAAAAGTGCATTAAACAATACAAAATAAGAGCAGAGCAAACACGGACCTCTAAACATCAGAGGTGGGATCAGGTGCCATGGAGGAGTGAGCATCCCCTGCCTACCGGTCACACCCGCCGTGTGCTCCTTGTTATCATCGGGAAATAACGGAAAATCCGTGGACAATTCAGTGTGTAAATAATGGCCTAACAATTAGTATGAAAAACGTCAGTCAGCATTTGACTCAATGATAAATTGTATTTGCTGACAAGGTCATTGTATCGACCATAGAGCTTACGAAATGATGACTTGAAACGAGACAGCTGATATTCTTGTTTCATCAACTTGTTTGTCAATAAATTATCTCGTGTTAGAAATTGTACATACGTATAGCGTGCTCTTGCGTATCGAATCAACTGAGAGATATATACCCCGTTTGCAGGTGATGAAGGTATATTGCTGCATAAGTAAGGGAAGTTGACGATTGAAAAGTTAAAGTCATCAGGTTTATCATAAAGCTTGGTTGTTAGATTACCATTAACGTCTTTTACAAGTAAAATATCCAAATATGAAACAGATGTGTTAGACTCTGTGGTATCTTTTACCTCAAGCTCACCAGGATATATCGTATCGAAATAAGAATGGAAATAGCCATTGTTAATTGACAATACATCGTCGATATATCTAAATGTCGAGTTGAAGGCCACAGCAAGTGTTTTCTTCTTTTCATGTAGAAGATTTTGGACAAATTCTGCTTCATATGAATACAAAAAAAAGGTCTGCTAATAACGGGGCGCAATTGGAACCCATGGGAATTCCACCAGATTGTTGGAAGACCTGGTCTCCAAACACCACATAGATATTGTCAATCAGAAACTCAAACATCTTTTTAATGTCAACTTCAGAGTACTTGTGTGTACAATCAGAATGTTTTTTAACAAAATAATTTTGCAAATGACCAATGACAAGGTAAGTAGATTTACAAGTTCTATTTTTATTGAAAAAGCAGCTGTCAATGATATCAAAAAGCCTGGACTTTAATTTATCGTGGGGAATGGTTGTGTATAAAGTAGAAAAGTCGTAAGTTTTTAAGCTGTTGATTTTGGTAAAATCTTGTGATTTCAAATTTTCACCACTTCTCAAATACATTGTTGCACAATACTCTTGAAGTTTCTCCTTCACCACTGTTAATATCTTAGTGAGGAGTAAAGAAAGAGGCTTGGTTAAACATTTACTGGAACCCGCTATGTATCTTTGTTTGTAAGGATTTTTATGAAGTTTCGGAATCCAATATAAATATGGTAAATTAAGTAATGAATTTAAAAGTTACTTAAGTCACATGTGAGTATACCGTCCCTTCTGATAGATCTTATTTTATCATATAAACTCTGCAATCATATAAAGTAGTCATATTACAGAGTTTATTTGATAAAATAAAATCTTTCAGAAAGGACAACACTCTGTGTTGAGATAAAACGCAAGGTGTTTTTTTTAAAAGAGAGAAATTATCAAACTCAGTTAATACTAGTATGATCAATAAGTTTATTCTATCTAACCTTTAAGTGAAAAAAAATTATACTATTTGTTCTCAAAACAGTGAAAACGTACAAAATTTATTGTAACATCACGTGGATTATGCTATTTATTTTCACGTCTGTAATTACATGTAGATTAATGGTTAAACAGCAATATGTCTTTAATTTTTTAGATTTTAAATTTAGTAATCACATGTACATGTACTTTATTTTTATGGCGGCCCATATCCTCGTCAGTTTCAGATTTACTTTCGCTACAGTTAACTTTTCACATTTCCAATATTTTAAAATGTTCGTCTATCAAGATCCCCAAGTCACTGAATATTTGTTTCATACTTATATTTGCCGCAATAACTTGATCTGCAAGATTTGTTCCCCTTTTACCATTGGATCTGCATAAATTGTGGCAGCGAGAGGTTTCGCATGCAGTTTATAATATGGAAAAAAGTGAAGTTAACAAACTGTGAAAAATTTCATAAATCTTATAAATAATAAGAAACGTGACAAATTGGACCTCTCTCTCTCTCATGCATACCTGAGGAAATTCGAACTATATTAGAGACATTCATTCCATTATCTGAAAGAGATATATGATATACAGACAAAAAAATTGACACATCCCAACTGTACTATGGATGGTCAAAAAGTTTGCGATCTCGATTTCCACCATCGTTTAGCATCAGAGTTCAATATATGATATATATATATATATATATATATATATATATATATAACTCTGATTTAAGGACTAGGGAGACCAGACCATTATATATGGCTTAAGGAGACAATATACAGATTTTTTAAATTTGCTTTTTTCTAAAAAGAAATACCAGATCAAAGATCTATAGAACACCATTTAGTCGACTCTTGCTTTATTTTTTCATAATAAATGCCTCCTAAGAATATATGAAAAAAATGGTCTCCTTAATATTTTATGTTTCTCTCATATGACTTAAGGAGACCAGTGTATATTTTTTATAAATATAACTTGTGGTTTAAGTAGACCATTTTTCTTTCATAGTAATTTCACTTATTATGCATTAATTAACATATTGTTTCCAACCAGAATAGTTGCGGATGGTCATTAGTCAAGGTCAGCAGAAAGATATTTGTGCTAATGTGACTCAACATGATCAGTACAAAATTTTGAATTAAACTAAAGTCATTGCACAAGTGACTTAAATAGAGAGTAGTTGCCCCCGTGGCGCAGTGGTTAGAGCGTCTACTCTAGAGTAGCGAAGTAAGGAGTTGATCCTTATGTCGCAAGTTCAAATCCCACTGTGGGATGGGGAGACCGGTCCTTCAGATGAGACCATATAAATCGAAGTCCTGTGTCGCAGTAGGTGCTGGCACGAAAAAAATCCCTCGATGCTCAATGGCCGTAAGTGCCGAGTATAGGACAAAATTTGCAGATCTCCACCGCCATGTGGTGGTGTCTCCATATGAGTGAAAAAATCTCGAGAGGAATGTTAAACAACATACAATCAATCAATATATAGAGAGTATAAGCCCAGAGTAGCTTGTTCTGATATCCACATTAAACTCTCAATGCTGTCGCCCACGTGGTGCAGTGGAAAGAGCCTCTGCTCTAGAGTCGTGGAGTTAGTTGATCCTTTTGTCACATGTTTGAATCCCACTGTGGGACGTAGAGACCGGTGCTTCATACAAACAGAGGTCCAGTGTCGCAGTAGATGCTGGCATGAAAAAGATCCCTCACTGCCCATTGGCCATGAGTGCCGAGCATAGGTCATTTGCAGCTCTCCATCGGCAAGTGTTGGCATCTCCATATGAGTGAAAAATTCTCCAGAGGGACATTAAACAACAAACAAACTCTCAATGCCCAAAACAGTTTAACCTAAAAGTGAATGCAGACATAGATTATTCTTTAGACCAAGTATAGTATACTCCATATTGTTTTGTTGAGGACACAAAGTTCACAGTGGACATCAAGTAGTTTTTCCTGCTATTTATACCCAGCTTCGTCACCGAGTGCATTCGCTTTCCAACTAATTGAAGTTCTGACCTATGCCTACATTTGTTTAAATTCTTTGTGATTTAAGAATACATTTGACCAGTTGAAACCAAGAGTACATGTACTACATAAAATTTCAAGGTTGTGATTAAGATTCAGTAAAAGTTATGCCCCATCCAGTATAGCAATATGTGGATGCCATGTTCAATATACATATTTGCTATCATTAAACTTGCAGAGACCATGAATCATAATAATTCAAATGCTTAAAAATCATTTTATTTTTACTGCTAGTCAAAATACAGTCACTCAAGCATATCCTTTGTTAATTTGAAAAAAAAAATATGATAGTTTAACATTTATTATTAATACCATACCAAAGCACAAGATAGTCCACTTCTTACATAATCCAATGATTCATGCTGTGATTTTACCTATTTAGATGTTTCTTATTTACAGTTCAGTATACATGATATACCAGTACAATGTGACACTAACCTAGTATCAGTTAAATGGATCATTACTATTCTGTTTTTAAGAAGTTTGCAGGGTAAAAAGTATAATAAAATAAAAATGTTGATACATTTATTGATTGCATATGCTAAAAACTTTTATAAAATATCAAACATTGTATCATAACAGCTTTTACAAATTAATTCAATACATTCAAAGGTACAAAAATCAAATTATTTTCATCCACAGTTTTATCATATTCAGTTGAACAACAGCTACATCTATTATATAAAATGTATGGTAGTTGGCACTGATGGTATATATATCCTGAGCAAAGAAAAAACATACCTAATCAAAGAATACAAAGCTCACTTCTATAAATGTTATCTACTAGTAAGGCAAAGTCTCACTCAACAAACACTCTGGTAATGTATATCACCTGGATCCAAAATCTATGCAAGTTGGTCTGGGTTAGATTAAACTGCTCAATAACCCTGAAAATGTATGTTACATCCAGCATCAGAAGCAGGATATATCATCTATGTTTACTGATCACCAAAGAGTATATTGTTACTTTGAATGAACCTTCTCTAAAAAAACTGGTCATTAATCCAGAAAATCTAAGTCAAATCAAGGATTGGTACCCTGAAACATTTACATGTACATACATCATCTTTGCAGGTTTGTTCAACATAGAGTTTATAATTACATGAGAATAGGACTGCTCAAAACACTTAATCTTGTGAAATCCCCCATGTGGTGCAAAGGATAGAGTTTGTAATTTAGAGTCGCGAGTAAGGATTTAATCCTTAAGTCTCAGGTTCAAATCCACTGGGGATGTGGGGACCAGTCCTTCAGATAATACCATATAAACCGAGGTCCCGCCTAGCAGTTGATGTGGGCACAAAAAAGATCCCTTACTGCTCAAGGCCCTGAGTGCAAAGTATAGGTCAAATTTTGCAGCTCTCCACCAGCAAGTAGTGACATCTCCATATGGATGAAAAATTCTTGAGAGGGATGTTAAACAACAAACAAACAAAAACAAAAAAAAACACATGAGGAAAATGTAGATCAGGTCAAGCATCTGAAGTAAATCTGTTAATGTGCTTTAATCCATGCAAGTTTGTCCAGGTAGAGCTTAGGAATGAACCTTGCTCCTTAAATTTTAACTGGGATACAATGCTAGGTATATAGTAAGAACTCATCTAGACTGTCCAGAAAAGCTAAAAAATATTTAGCAATTTCTTACTTCTTACTTGCATGATTTAAAAAAAACTGCAATCTAACATTATTTCAAAAAAACTTTCAACACATTTTCTAATTTTCAACAAATTCAATGCACTATGAGAGGATTTATCATTTCTTAACCACATACACTGTACTTGAAGTGCAATATACATGCATTATACTGTATGTTAAATCTTTACAGTTTTCTTCAAGTACTCTTATAGTATATGAAATATGAAGATTACCAACAGTGATCAAGCTTTAAAGTCCATTGAAACAATACAAAATTAGAGCAGAGCAAACACAGACCTCTAAAAACACCAGGTGCAATGGAGGAGAAAGCATTTCCTGCCATGTGCTCCTTGACATGATTGGGCAAATGGAAAAATCCACAAACAATTCAGTGTAAACAATTTCGATGAAAAACATTAGTCAACATTCAACTTAATGATCGATTGAATTTGCTGTAACAATTAATTTACACGTAAGTGTACACACATGTATGTATACTAGATAAATTATTTCACAACATCCAAAATTGGACAATAATAGTTTCTAATCTAGCTAGACAACAGGAAATTTTCATTATTACTTAAATTACATGAAACTATTGAAGTCTGTGAGCTACAAATTATATCTAAAAATTATACACATTTTAACAAGTGTTAACAGTTTAGTGTATTTATTATACACAAATGATGACTTAGTAAGACATACTAGTAAAGTCCACAGATTGACTTCCAGATTTCAGCTCAAAGGCTTGAAGATTTTTAGTGGCTCTTTCATCATTTTTTTTTCACTGAATATTTTCATTTTTATTTTCAAGACGCTGTTTTTGTTGAGGTCTTTTAGCAGTTTGATGCAATCCAAGAACTCCAAGGGCAATTTAAGAACTCCTGAATTTCTTTCTTACCTGGAAAAAATAAAAATTTAAAAGTTTAAAATATATTCAACTTACATGAAGAAAACTAGTAAAACTAGTGATAATATAATAGACCTTTCAGATGTTCCAAAGCAGCTACATGTATCTAATTAAAAAATATAAAGTTTGAAGTATTTAGAGTCACCTGTATTCTGAACAAGGGATATGTGTATTCAACAGACAGATGAATGAATAGACTGATCACTATAGAGCACCTTAGTCTTTTTTCAATAATCTTTATATTAGTGAAAATCAAATAGGAACTAGAGTGTTTCAAGGAATGTATATGTCACCTGCTAGGTATCGTCATTAAAGAGGTAAATAAATCTAAGAGTGGTCAGCTATTAATTTAATATTAGCATGGAGGTTCATGCATTTGCCTGCAAGGAAAAAAAAGGATCCAAAAGTAAAAGACTGGGATAGAATCTGGCAATCAAAGAAAATATGGTTCCCCAGTCCTCAAATGAATAATTAAATTGAAATTATGATGAATAACTATTTATCATTTTATTAATACACATGTAGGTGCTTCCAACAATCCTCGGAGGAAAGGAATTTCAGACTTTCTTTACTTTAATTGTCACTTTGTCAGTCAACACGACTCATTGTGGAATACTGATCCCAATGTATTTTCATAGTCTTTAAATATAAGTTTGTGTGGTAACTGAATTTCATACAGTTTCAAAGTATAGTATCATGAGCTCAAAAACATATATAAATGCTAATTATCAAAACCCTGCCTCTCAAAATTTTGGAGATATAAGGTGTGACAGACGGACAGACAGACACCAGGTAAAGTGATCTCTAAGTGTCGTTCTGCTCTGCAGTTGACACAAAAATGAAAGTTAGTCAATTTTTGACCATGTATATCACTTCAGTGATGAAAGGAATGCTGAAGTGGTAAGTCTATCCTAATTATTTGAAAATACGGCAACCCCATTGGTCAGAATATAATACATATGCTGTCTAGCCTTAATTTCATTGGCATAAAGCAGCACAAAACACGATTTGATTGGATGGTGCAACTTGTTTTTCTAGGGGGCGCTGTTGCAACCCTGGAAAAGAAAACAGGACTGGGGCTTGCCCCTAGGGGGCACTTACTGACCGGAAGTAAACAAACAACAGAAATAGCAATACACTAGAAATATGTCCATAGGACATGTATGCCCGCCGAGTATATAGTAATGCAACATGAAATTTTGTGTTAGTGTATGAAGTTTGATGAGAATATCTTGAAAAGTTTCTTTAAAATTGAAATTGAAATCTAAAAAAAATGGATATAGATGATAAATTCTCACCAAATTATGTATAGATGCATAACCTTAGATTTCAATATTTTAAATGGTTTTAAAACCATGCAAAATGCAAATTGAAGGAAAGTGAGGTCAAGGTCACAGGAAAAGTCAAAAGTTTTTGAAATAGTTGAATACTAGGTCTTACTTATTATATATGTATCAGCATATTAAGTTTGATAAAAAATATCTTGAATGATTTCTTTAAAACTGAGCTAGTCACAAGCGTGGCACCATGGTCGCGAAGTAAGGAGTTGATCCTTGTGTCACAGTAGGTGCTGGCATGAAAAAGACCCCTCACTGCTCAATGGCAATGAGTGCAGAGTATAGGACAGAATTTGCAGCTTTCCACTGGCAAGTGGTGGCATCTCCATATGAGTGTAAAATTCTTGAGAGGGACTGCAGATTACCTGTAATGATTGACCAAAATCCCTACTAGGCTTTAAACTCTTCATTCTTGACCTGTATTTCATCAAATGAGATTTTTATGCGCCCGGATCGATAGATCGGGGGCGCATATTGTTTTTGTCCTGTCTGTCTGTTTGTCTGTCTGTTGTCAACTTTAACCTTCACCATAACTTTTGAACCATGAGAGAGAGAGACTTCATATTTGGTATGCATACTCCACTCATTAAGTTCTTTCAAATGACACGAAGGTCAATGACCTTGTGACCTTGACTGTGACCTATATGCTAAAAATAGCTTTTTCGAACTTTGTTGCCGCCGGGTGCATAGTGTTTCACAAACACATCTTGTTCCAGTTAATTAAGGTAAAATTACTAATTGTTAAAACTGTAAATGATTTTTTTTTTTTTACCTGAGCCAGATTTTTACTTTTCATAAAAGTGTCTGTATTTGACTGTTGGTTCCACCTATCTCAAGGAAATGATCTGTAACAGTAAATGTTAGAAATCATAATCTGTTCTCTATCTACTATAATCATGAGAAAAGGTGTTGAAAATTAACAGATGGAGATAAAATCAGCAGTCATATTAAAGGCTTTTTTCAATAATCAATTTATTAGTGAAAATCATAAAAGTATTAGGCAAAAAGGAAAAATAAATGTTGTCATTAATTAACCTTGCATATCTCTACAATTTTCTGATAAGAAAATTATACCCGATAGATGCAATATAATCACTCTTTGTCTGCCCCTAAATTAAATTATGAAATTTTGATAGATTTTGATCTAGTAAGCAATTATTTAAAACAAGGTTCTTTTAGAGGTGCCTAGGGTTGAAATTCATAAAAAAAAACCCTACAAAAAACATGAAAACCTATTTCTATCATACTGGTTTATATTTATTACAAATGTCCTCATAGTCAGCATAGCCCAGAGCGATAGACCGCAGACTCTTACCATGAACATTTTTAGTGTCCTGGTTCGAAACCATTTGTTGGCACATTTTTATTTTTTCAAACTTTTTACCTGTATAAACACTAAAGAACGAGTGCACTTATGGCCCCGGTAAAATGTGAAAAAATGAAGAATTAAATTAAGCATAATTTTCCATCTCAGATCATTAATTGATATCTAAACCACAAGATTCAACAAATTTTATCGCTGAAATTCATGAATATACAAAGAGCAAAGCCATACAATGTGGTAGGGGGTCAGCCAATATTTGTGATTTTCTATAGTAAATCGAGGACGGTCATTCATTTCAAAGCTTTTGTTTATTGTCAGCCTAACATTGTACAAACTTGTGCGATTGACAAAAAACGCATTATACATTTATAAAACTTGTGTGAAAGTAGGAAATTTGTACATGATTAGGCTTGTACTTTAAATATTAAAAATGTATGAAAAGTTCAATGTTTTTCCTATAACAAGCAAGAGCTATTTACCTGTATGACCTATGTTGAACCCACCCGTGGAATATATTTTTTAAAATACTGGTAGTCACGTGAGTTCTACCCAGGTAAACATTCCTCAAAGATGCTCACTGTAAAACATAGCCACGTTTTGTATCATTATATCGAAGTCAAGCCGCATAGAGAAGTTTGTATGTATTTGGTTTTAGGAACACGGGATGGTTAGGAGAGTTTAGTGTCGTTAAAATGTCATCATAAATAAAAGTGTCAAACATTTTTAACATTCATGCAAGACAATGGTACTGGTATTGAAAGCCACCTAAATACACTTTTTTCATTTTAAAATTTAAAGGAACTAATGTTAATACTTATTGTATTATTTCAAATGCAAGCATGCAAATTTCTTAGTTTGATCACTATGGATACAGGTATCTATACAACTTCATTCGATTTTTTTCTCAGGTAAAATAGCACAAGAAGTATCATTCAGCAAACGTGCCTGTCAATGATCCACCATCAGATTGTTCAAGTGTCTGATTTAAATGTCTCCTCCCCTTGATTTAAATAAACGAAACTCAAAATAGGTTCGGTACGACTTTTCCGGATTTGGGGTATCTATAGGCATTTAAAAAACTTCATTTGTTTCAAATCCATGCTGATTTAGGTGATGTTTTAATGTGATTTTAATTAGAAATGTCCACTTGTGTTTAACTATTACCAAAAGAGAACAATTTGGTAATACATTCTAAAGTAATACGGCACTGAAAAAGGGCCCATTAAGCATTGCTTAAGTGCACTTGTCCTTTGATTATTTAATACAGGCTTTTGCATTTTACTTAATATATTTTCTTCCTTAAATGTTTGGTGTTGATATAAAAGACATCTGTGGAAATGCAGATCATAAATTCTCTTTAACTAAACGCAATCAACCGGAACTAAACCTCATTGTAAGCACACTTTGTTCGAGGACATGAATCATTCACTTTGTGTTACTCGATACTGCAGGTGTCACGAAAAAAAATCATGCCGAGCAATAATTGCTGTGTTTGCCTTTCAAGAACATAATGACGTGTAATAGTACTGTTGTGTCAGTGGGAGAGGTACTGTTCTATGCAGAGTAGATGCAGTTCATTCCTTGGGAAAAATGTGTGCATTGGCGATATGTTATGCTAAAAATGCATGAGGGTTTTCAGATTAGAAAAGAATGTGGTAAGGTCAGTTAAGGTTTTATGTCCCGTTGCCATTACTCAGTCAGACATCAAGAATGACCTTCAAACAAAGGATGTATCATTCTGTAAATACTGAGGTAGGATCACATGAACACACAGTTGAGTAGAATGAAATATATCGAGATAACAATCAGTATTCAAGCTCAAAAGCCCATCAAAAAATACAAAATAGGAGCAGAGCAAACACGGACCTCCAAAACATCAGAGGTGGGATCAGGTGCCATGGAGGAGTGAGCATCCCCTGCAGACCAGTTACACCCGCTGTGTGCTCCTTGTCACGACTGGGAAACAATGGAAAAATCCATACACAATTCAGTGTGTAAATAATGGCCTAACAATAAGTATGAAAAACGTCAGTCAGCATTTTACTTAATGATAAATTGTATTTGCTGACAAGGTCATTGTATCGACCATAGAACTTACAAAATGATGACTTTAAACAAGACTGCTGATATTCTTGTTTCAGCAATTTGTTTGTCAATAACTTACCTCGTTTTAAAAATTGTTCATACATAGAGGATGCTCTTGCGTATCGAATCAACTGAGAGATATAAACCCCGTATGCAGGTGATGAAGGTATACTGCTGAATAAGTAAGGGAAGTTGACGATTGATAAGTTAAAGTCATCACGTTTATCATAAAGCTTGGTTGTTAGATTACCATTAATGTAGAACTAAAGCAATACATGAGAAACAAGAAACTACACACATGTGACCTAAAGTCAGTGACCGGAACATATATCGATAAGCTTTTTCTAAAGACTGAAACCAATATTGGTCCTATAGGTCATCTCATATTTTTAACTAGAAGTGTTCCTTTGATATACTATATTTTACATAATTTCTATAGACTTACTATACCCTGAAAAAAAAAGGAAAACAGGAACTACCTGTTTAAATGACCCCGACCACCAAGGTTAATCTAAAGTTTGTCCCTGCCTACCTGAAAAACAGACTGCCTCGGGCAGTCAGTAATTTCCAACTCTGGTTATGAGATGCTAAATGTTTAATACTTACAATTAAATGCTTATATTTACATTTTTAAATTCATGATAGATTGAGAAAGTCGATAAAATCATTTCTATATTATGTCTGTATATTGTATAGGGGGAAAATAACTCGCGGTGTTAATATTCGCTATATTCACGGTGTGAATAAATCCGTGAATTCAAGAAACAGTGAATAAGTTTTCAATAACCTACATGTTATATTTGGAAATTTGATAATAGACTACGATAGGTAAATATACGTGCAGTGCATGGTCATTTCAGTAATTACGAATCGTACTTGTCATTCAATTATTTTAATTATCACGCTTGACATTAATTTAGATCACTCAGCAGATAATAACCTGTATTTGTAAAAAAAAAAAAAAACTGTTTTAATAGCCAACGCTACATGTTTTATCAATCAAAACACTAGGGTCATGGGTTTTGAATAACCGTACATAACTATGTTACGATGTGTATTTGTTACCTGCATTATCATGTTTTTATCGACATTTTGGTTTTAAAAAATCATTCAAATAACTATCGAACTTGCTGATGTATATATAAATCTACCGTGTTGTTCGTGAAGTGAATACATAACGCTGATTAATGCCTTCTAGCTATGCTATGGATTAAACGGATATAGACATTGAAGGGAGGTGCGTGTAACCTTTATTATATACTGATTCCACGAATTCAACAAACCGCGATCGTGTCAGAGGAGAGAAAAACATGAAAATTACAACCCCTGAAATTAATCCCCTATACAGTACTTCAACCGAGAAATTAGTTGAGACTGGTTCCAGAAAAGAAGCTGAAAATGTTCAATAGTTTACAGACAATACTTGACACATGATGACTGAACAAAACAGATAGCAATAAGTAATTTAAATGACTCAGGTGAATTATAACCTGTTCAATCTTAGATCCATCTTTTTTCTAATACGAAGGTTGATCCAAAAGTTCATGGAATTTAATTATTTCTAAAATTTTATTGTGATTTGATGAAAGCAAACAATAGGAATATTTATAATATAGAGTCATTATGCAACAATACTGGAAAATTTCACCACATTCCAATTACCAATAAGGTCACATGAGCTTTCTGAACACTGATAGTTGTAAAATCTGGGGGAGACTTCGACGTAACGTCAAGTTAAGTATGTCATGTCATGTTATAGGAGCATCTCACCCTTAGCTCATGTTCAATTCAACTAAGTAATTCTACAGAATATTCTGCCTTTTTCTCCTTTTTTCTCTCAAGAAAAGCCTGGGTATCCTCTCACACCAATCGACTTATCTTTATATTACACTCATATTTCTAAAATACTCCCCATCTTTCCATATGATGTTCCAATTTCAGTAGCAAAGTCCAGCACAGTACGTCAGCGGTCAACATCCATCAACGCTTAATTTGTCTATGAGAAAAACAGACCCTCCAAAAGCAGCCACACCTTTAATCAACCTCATGGAAGTTCTATTGTTCTTAAATTTCTCACGCCACTGGAAAATTAGTTGCTATATGCATTTTTCTCCAGCCTGTATCAGTAGTATACCCCTTTAAGTCAGAGTGTTCCTAAGACTTTTAACAAAACTTATAACTTGACTGAAATGTGACATTCTCTAACAATTAATAGATGAACAAGAAATCATCAACTAATAATCTAAATATCAAGTTAAATCAGTAAAACTCTCACAGACAGGTATATTAGTGGTCAAGCAATCGTAATAATGACAAAATTCTCATTTTATTTGCCACTTAGTGCAGGTTTTTTCTTATTTCACGTATTAAGAATTAAAATGATAATGAACGAATAAATGTCTCCCCTGCATTTTAAAACATCCTTTGCTATGGCAACTGCCATAGAGTTACTATCGTTAATATTTAAAATATTTTTTTATTTAAAAAATTCAACAAGTGTCTATATTCTTATTTGTAATTTTCAACCACTTTCACTAATAAATAAATAAAATAAGAAGAAATTCCATGAACTTTCGGATCAATCCTCGTACATGTCAGTCATTAAATTTATATAATATACCGTATGCATAATGGAGACCAAATGTATTATTACTGCATTAAGGAGACCAACCACTATCCATATGTAAATCAGTATTCAACCACTTTCACTAATAAATAAATAAAATAAGAAGAAATTCCATGAACTTTCGGATCAATCCTCGTACATGTCAGTCATTAAATTTATATAATATAGTCTGCATAAGGGAGACCAAATGTATTCTTACTGCATTAAGGAGACCAACTACTCTCCACATGTAAATCAGTATTCAACCGCTTTCACTAATAAATTAAAAAAAATATGAAGAAATTAGTGATGAGACATCGGTTAATTTTCATAATCGATAATCGGTTGGAATCAGTTACTGCTTCTGATGCGATTTCACCGATTATAATCGGATTTCTTCATAGTTTTGTATACAAAAAGCAGACTATTACAATAATTTCATTTATTATATACCCAAGTGTGTATCACTCAATTCTACTGTAGATTTCGTACAATTACGTGACGGTGTGATCCGACTTTCTGGATCACCACACTGTGGTTTTCTGAATCCATATCACCCCTCTCTGAAATTGATGACGTAGTACACAGAAACATGACATTATTTTTCATGTGCATCAAAAAGTTCCTTGACAAAATGGTTTGTTTAATGGAAAAATCTTATATAATTAATCTCAAAAGTTTATTTTAACTATATTTTGCTAGTTGTAAAGGGGGTATATAATAAATTTATCATTATAACAGTAACTTGATCCGAAGAGCCGTATCACGTCTCGTTGACAGGCGCGGATCATCAGATCAAACTCGACGCTTCGCGTCTCGTTTGATCTGATGATCCGCGCCTGTCAACTCGATGTGATACGACTCTTCGGATCAAGTTACTGTTATAATAATGTATATTTATTTCTTTAACATGAATATATAAAATACATAATATATTATTTTCTTTGTTGTTTTGCTTCTTTTACACTTTCTAGACCTAAAAATATTTACAGTGGACACCCAACATGGCTGCCTAGTGGCAGAAAACGAACTTCAAAAAGTTGTGGGGGGAATTGATCACTCTTTATATTTAAGGTGAATGTTGACTAAGTTGCATATTTTATATCTCAAATAAAAGATACAATTAATATTTTTTGAATAAAAAGAATCAGCTGATTGATCAAACCAAAGAGCAAACACAGATTTGGCAGAAAAAATAATTCACCCGGGGGTAAATTGAATGGGTCGGTCGGGTTATTACAGGAAACAAAAATAATTCTTTTTAAGCCCTATATATGCATCTTCGGTTCTTAATCACCTCTGCTTCATGCTAGTTGGCTAGTATCAGATGCAGATGCCATTTTCTTTCATTAAGAAGAAATAAATTTTAAACCAGAAATGGATAATTCCGGAATGTATTGTATTAGAAGTATGTTTCCGATGATCGATTATGAAAAACTATAATCGATCATTGGAATCGGTAGCATTTTTTGTCGACAATCAATGTTTTCTGATTATCGGTACAACACTAGAAGAAATTCCACGAACTTTTGGATCAACCCTCGTACATGTCAGTCATTAAATTTATATAATATACAGTATGCATAAGGGAGACCAAATGTATTATTACTGCATTAAGGAGACCAACTACTATCCACATGTAAATCAGTATTCAACCACTTTCACTAATAAATAAATAAAATATGAAGAAATTCCACGAACTTTTGGATCAACCCTCGTACATGTCAGTCATTAAATTTATATAATATACAGTCTGCATAAGGGAGACCAAATGTATTATTACTGCATTAAGGAGACCAGCTACTCTCCACATGTAAATCAGTATTCAAAACTTGAGATTTTAATACTCTAATAATTTACATGTTTAGTTACATGAACTAAATCTATTTACCTTTGTCATAACGCAAGAACTGTTTTACATTCAGCCAACTTTCACATTACACATGCATACAGTGTATGCCATGCATTAGGAAGACCAGATGCATTATTTCAACATTAAAGAAACAAACTACAATGGAACAATTAGACAGTATTCCAAAATGTTCATTCCAATACCATAGTAATTTCCCTTAATTTGTTTGTATTTAGATGACTTAAATCAATTTATCTCAGCCAGAATTGGAACAAAAAAGCTAATCATTAAAGTGGCCAAACACATGAACAGACAGATGGACATGATGATTCCTATGCTTATATATACCCAAAGTTGCCAAAGTAGAGCAGATGCAGTGGTTAGAGCGTCTACTCTAGAGTCGCGGAGAAAGAAGCTGATCCTTACATCGCGAGTTTGAATCCCACTGTGGGACGTGGAGACCCGTTCTTCAGATGAGACAGAGGTATTAACCGAGGTCCCATGTCACAGTAGGTGCTGGCTCGATAAAGATCCCTCAATGCTCAATGGCTGTAAGTGCTGAGTATAGGACAAAAATTTGCAGCTCTCCACCGACAAGTGGTGGTGTCTCCATATGAGTGAAAAATTCTCAAGAGGGACGTTAAACAACAAACACTATACACCCAAAACTTTGTTTGCAGAAGATTTTGTGATACATGCTTTACAAGTATACATATTGTTCATAAGGGAATAAAAATGCTATAATATATCATTAAGGAAAGCAACTGAAATTAAATGTGCACTTCTAATTGAACTAAACAAAATTACCCTTTGTCAGAATGTAGATTTATAAACAGGAAGGCTGTTTTTCTTCATTTTTTCCATGTCAGATTCAGACTGTTCTTGAAAAAATTCTGGCATACACCCTGTAAAAGTGAACAGTGCAGATAATAAAGAGCTTCTAAATAAACTGCATAATATTTAAATGATCCACTTAAAAGGGATAACAAATGCTTTTAACTCCATCAAGGAGACCAACTGATATCCATATATATATAAATCAGTACATGTATTTTAATTGTGATATTTTAATATCCTAGTAATTTACATGTTTAGTTTTATGAAATAAATCTATTTACCTTTGTCCAATGACCAATGAGCACAAGCACTGATTTTTCCTCTTTTTTCTTAACGGAATCACCCGGGACAGTCTGGGGTCCATATGATTCTGGCATATGTACACTCTGTAAAATGCATATTTGTACCATGTACAGGCATATGAACAATATTTCTATACTACATACATGCATCATTAAACTTAATAATCTTTTTTTTCCAAAATTCATTATTCATATATAGTGTTTTGCTGTTAGCAAAATTCAACAAAAACTATACCGTATATATACTTGCCTATAAGGTGGTCCACCTATAAGTCAGTTGTATTTTTTGAGGTTATTTTGGAGGGATTTGCTATTGACCCGCTTATAAATCGGTACAACTTTTTGCCAGAATCAATTGACAATTTCAAATCAATGCTCTGATGTTTTAACCTGGTTTCAAATACTTATCTTTTTATGACTCACCTATAAGTTGGACATAGAGTATATACAGTACCTGCATTATACATGCATTAGGAAGACCAAATGCATTATTGCAATATTAAAGAGACCATTGTGGCAAATGAAATCAATGTATGAATTGTATTCAAAACTACAGGTGTACTAATTTGTCTGAAGTATATCATGATATAATGTGATACACAAAGACTTTAACAGGATATGTACATATACCCACATGCCTAAATGTAACAACAGTTTAAAAATGAATATTTTTTTTTTGTTGTTGTAAATTTCACTGTTTAATTTATGAAATATAAAATATTATTTAAAACCTATAATTTATTAATATTGTGGGTCATCACCCCATTTTTTGTGAAGGAATCATGAAAGGCATTGTAATTTCAACTTGCTCACAGAGCAAGTTTTACACAGAGGACCAACTCTTTATTCAAAATTTAGTTTACATACTTAATTTTTTAACAATTAAGTTTAATGGGTTTAAAAAACTTCAAACTAGGTCAAAATATTTTGCTTTCTAAATATGGGCAAGAAATGTTCTTTTGCTTAAAATCACCTAAAACTTCAGAAAAAAAAAATGCACTGTGCTCATCCTCTTCAAATGCCTTGTTTGTAAATAACTGATAAAAGGTATATCTCACAAATGCTTCATTATTACAAATGTCTTACAGTAAATATATGCATCACCACAACTTATTTCATTAGTAAGAATAAACCCTTAAGCAATGAATATAAATGCTGAAAAGTGGTGCATTGTTAGGAGTTGATCCTACTACACAAGTTTTGAGATTATCTCCATTGGTGCACTCTTTTGTTACAGAGGGGAGTTTTGTTTCCACGTTAGCAGGCAGGTCAGTGGCATCTCAATATGAGTAAAAAAATTCTCAAAAGCAATCTTGAACATAGAAACTAACAAATAAATGCTGAAATGATACATCGTGATATGTAGGTATATAGGATTGGGATAATAAACAGACCTTATGATATGATACATATAAAATTTCAAAATGATTTATAAA